CTAAGATAAGAGCCGGCGGTGGAGAGAGCAAGGGGAAGCCCATCGAGTCGCTGCGCGAGTTGCAGAGCGGCATCATCTATTCAAACTACATTAGTGTATTGACCTTATCTGTTACGTTTCATCAACCGCATTTTACCGTCATTGAGGCCTTGTCGATGTGACGTGGAAGCCAAAATCTGAAGGCTGTCATGAACACTTGTCAATTTCCCTAGTCGAACGATCTTTCCAAGCTGGACGATAGATGATCGTGTTGTTATCAGAATGGCACCCTGATAACTGCTGGGAAAGAAGGGTCGAATATCAAACCCTTTCTCCAGCGATATCTGAGACTCAGAGTTTATCGCACCAGATTCGTCCTTTACAATCTCTTTGCTCGACTCTGGCCCACTTGTGGAATTGGGGAATTTCGGGTTGTCGTAATTGTCATAAATAGCGAGCCAACGGCTGTTGTGAGTCTCTCCTAGCCATCGCTTGACCGCCTCGGTTATCTGATCGAGATCCTTGTCCTTGATGGCATTCTCAATGTAGAGTGTGGAGGGATGCTGTTGACTGATCCTCCCGGCCACATGAGCGAAACTTTGCTTTAGTGATGTTGCATCTTTGGCGTTCAGCCAGATGACGGCGGAGTAATCTGCATGGTGGCGTTTAATGTATGCTGCCGCCAATTGTGTCTTACCCATCCCACCTAAGCCATACAGGACAGCAGTACGTCGTCTGTTATTAGCACGCAAAATCTCATGTGTTTGTGCAAGCTCTTCCTCTCTTGCCACGAAATGCGCGACTTCAGTGACGCCGGATAAGCTTAGAGGTAGGAACCATCGACTGAACGCAGGATCAGTCCGAGCTACATATACAGACTTTAATTAGTGTCAGAATCAAGGACATATGGCAGGTACCCACCCTCTGTTATCCTTGCCTCCTCCTCCCATCGCTGCCGTATCTGGTCACCCGTATTCACCACCATAATCTGCAAATACCCTGAAATCTTCTCATAGCCATTGTCTTCCTTGCTTATAAATTTTACCATGTTGATATGGTCGTGATGAATGACGATCGACTCGGCATTGGCATGGCCTGGTACGACTGCCGATGCACGCGGGACTACCTGTTACCACTTAGTATACTATATTATACAGGAAAGAGTAGAGCATACCATGATTTTGCGGCCAAATGCCGTTGCAGTCTCGTATGCCTCATAAGCATACTTTGTAACAAAGTCGTTAGTAATCGGGCCGTATTGCCCGAGCTGCTGCTGCAGCCACTCTGAGTCTCGTTCTAGATGCTGCAGGATATGGTTATCGGCTGCGACAAAAACTGAAGCAATGTTTACGAGTAATCGGCCCAATTGCACCCCGTTACCACCTTGGTGTGGGGTACCCATGAAGATGATGCCATATGTACAGAGCTTGATGGAGCGGTGTTCGAGCAACGCCCCTTGTCGCGATGCGTCTGAATGGATCAATGCCTGTTCCTATCAGTACATAACCAGCACTCTTTATACAGACAAGAGACTGACACTTTTTACAACGATGCCACCTAGACTGTGTGCCACAAATATGATCGGCCGTCTCGTTGACTAGTCTTGTTTTAGTCATTGTCCAATAGTCATGGCGCTTTAAGTTCCCCGAGCCAAATTAGCACGTACGCTGGTCAATTGCCGCTTTCGGCACAGATCCGAAACCAAGGTACGTGCATGATCGTACAGGTATTGGCAGCTCACGCGAGAGCTGTCGTGCGTGTTGGCATCGTAACCCCAACACATGATACGAGCGCGAGGTAGATCGTGTGGAAGGAGGTCGCGGAGCCAATGGACATTGTTAGCTGCGGTCCATGTTTTCTGTCGGTGCCCGTTTAGGCCGTGAACGGCGATGATGCTAGAAATACAACGTTAGAAGGATATGGCAAATAAAGTATCAGGAGATGGTACTTACTCAACGATAGCATCATTCCCATCGTACACGACCTCAAGCCCCTGAGGTGTGTTTGTTATTATTGGGAGGGGCGGGGAGGCAGACACTGAACTGTCAGATTGTTTGCTACTTCTACCCTTTTGCCGTGCATGCTCCCAAAGCCGTCGCATCCTTACGGCCCCAGAGTCTAGCTAGCGGAGAATGGCAGTAAGATGATGGTAGAAGTTGTCAAGTGGAAAGTATAGACAAAGACAACAGCTTGGAAGATGTTACGATTGGGTTGTCAGCCTTGTGCGGCTGAAGTTGCATTATTGTTTAGGCATCCATGTAACGTGACCAAGTTGATGAATCAGCTCAACACTCTACTCTATTGGTTGGGATCAACATGCAATGAATGACGGCCCATAGTCTATTTGTTGGAGCGATGAAAACAGCTGCAAGGACCCTGCCAGATCTATACTACAATAGTAATAACTACCCGCAGCGGACCGTTCCGAGTTGGATTTAATCAAGTGGCATGGGCTGCACAGATAAGAAGCTACCGAGAACACTGATAGTGGGACGCTGACTAAAAAGTCAGCCCCCCGAAGCGACAATGCTGCTCACGTGATCAAATCTGTAGAAAGGCCGTGGAAGGTCGTGGAATGACGCTAGCCTAAGCACGTATCCACACTGGCTTATTCGCCACATCATGAATCGGCGAAAGACTACGTCCGTACTAGATGGTGCTTTGCAACGTTCGCAACGAATCAAGATCATGGATCGAAATGAGCCTGCGAATGATGGGCAAAGTGATGGTCTGAGCGAGTCTCGAAGCTGTGATCTTTCCGCTTCCGACACCGAAGATTCCGAGCCTCCTCTCGCCTCTAGAAGCCGGCTGAGACCTGCAGGAGCTGCGTTGACCTTTGTGCCATTTGCTAATTGAGAGCCAGACCGGTCATACGATGGCGAACCCACGATACGTTATAATGTGGAATGGAAATTGTTCGTGAAGAATAGGGGACAGGCTGGCGAGTCGGAGCTTGACATTGTGATATCGCCGCACAAATTCTGGAAACACGTCCTCCTACCGAAGATGATGGAAGCGAGTGCCAACAAGCCATGGGCCGAGGACGCCACAAAGCTTATCCTTTCCGTGACCGATCGTAGGACGAGCAAGATAACAAAACGATTTCCCAAACTGAACGTGGACTGGCGTTTTGTTGGGAAACAACTTCAGGAATGGAGTCACTTCATCAACGATGGCAAGAGGATAACCGCCACCATCACATTCTACTATCAACATGTAGAAAGCAATAGCACGTCTGGCAGGGGAGGGGCAACAGCCAATCAAGAAGCAGACTTGGAGGCTAGAACGTCTATTTTAGGTCGAGGGAAATGTATCAGGCAGGCATATGCTCTTATGCGTTGCCCGGGGCCACCATGTACAGAGGGGGATCACTGCTGGCAGTACGAAGGGCGACATTACCCACTTCGACCTCATCACGTAAGGATGTTGGCCGACCATATGCAAGCTGGAAGGACTCTAAATGGGCATGACGACGTCCCTGATGATTTCCGTCGGTTGGTTCTCGATGACCAACGCGAGCGGGAAGAAAGGGAACGGAAGGAGCAAAGTCGTAAGCGCAGGCGGCGGAATTCAGACGATGCTCCCAGTATGCTGACTGGCCATTGCTACTATTGTGCAACTGGAGGACGTGGTACAGAATCGGCCGCTCCTTTAACCCCCGCGATGGTTTTCCCAACGTTCCCACTAACAGAGTCTGAACTGCCCAAAGAAGACGAGGTGAATGCGTACAGCGTATGGCAACGGTCACTGGTGAGGAATGAGGAACGAAAAGAGCAGTACAGATTAGCTGAGGAGTTGACCTTGGAGCGTTGTTTTGATCTTGATATGCTTGCTAGCAACCAAGAAAGGATATACCGGCTCTACGTACGCCATGGCATAGCTGAAGGCATCGCGTGGCGCTACATCAGTGACATTAGATCGTATTTGGATCAACGCAAAGGGGCAGAGCCCATCTCATAGAGCGTTATAAAATCCCCATCTGAATTTATTCTGTTATGTCCTCCTCGATATCGATTTGTGCCTTCCTGAAATGTCCTTTCGCAATATTCTTATCGCCTCCTACGACCCTAATCTGCATGAGTAGGTATGACTTGAAATCGCTGCGGATGAGATCTTCATCCTCTCGGGCTCTCTTCCGAATGCAATTCTTGGTCGAGCCAAACAAGAATTCAATTGGATTCAAGTCAGGTGAATATGGTGGTTGATACTCTACTATGACACCTGCAGCAGCAAGTATTTCCTTGGTTCTTGGCGAGAAGAAATGGAAGGAAGCATTATCCATAAAGATGACAGATCTTGGTTGCGGATATCTGCCGCAAAACGGCAATAACCTTTCCAAGAAGCTTTCAAACACTTGTGTATCAGTGTTCTCTTCATATACCTCACAATAGATAACACCGTCTATGGTGTATGCTGGCAAAACCTGTACTCTTTTTCCTCGATGGAATCGCTTCCTCTGAACTGGCGTGACACCTTTAGGAGCATAACCTCGTCCTAGGGTCGCAAGACCTCGATCGCTGCCGCTCTCATCGACGAAAATCATCTGCTCCGCCTTGTAATATGATCGCCTCTCTATGTAATCGTCTCGTAGATCTTGATTCTGTTCTTTAGCAACAGTTCGTGTGACCTTTTTCGTCCAGCCGACTCGCTTCAGTGTTCTGCTGACAGTCGATCTCGATACCTTCACACCATATTGTGCATGAAGAAAGTCAGCCATGTCTTGCTGGCTCATGCAGGGGCTCTTGCCCCAGCTGGTCCTGTAGCGCCAGCCACATATTTTCTGTCACCTCTCTCGGTCGACCGATATTTTCTTGAGGGGTTTCGATTGTACCAAATTGAAGGATGTTCGATCGCGCTTTACGAACGGTTCGCGCGGCGCAGGGTCCGATTTTATTGGCTATATCCTCGTCTATAATGAATTCCTCGCCTTTTAACTTACTAATGATGATATTCTCAAGCTCGAGTCGCTCAATCTTGGATAGCTTGGGAGCCATTTGAGGATGTGAAAGTGTCAGAAGTGGAATGTTCCAGCAGAGATTCGTAGCCCATTCTGGTCGCACACGGCAAAACATTTCCCCGGAGGTTACTCGACAACGCCTGACGTGTATACAGTGCGTAAGTCAGCAAATCCTTACTACGTGGGGTGCCGTAAGAGAATGCAACATTGTTGCAAAGAGGAACATCGTTTTGCACAACACTGTAATATTCAACCAAACACACTCAAACTCAGCCCAACGTAACAACGTAACGACCTTATCAACCTTTGCCGTGGCAAATTCCAAACTCTTTAGACTATCTAAAATAATATATCGCACTACTACAGGGAACTAGAGAGCATTCCTCTCGAGGCGGACGGTCATAACAACCACAGCCAAAGCCAGCTGAGACGACTACAACGGACGACCACGACGACCGGGACGACCAAGACAGCAAGCCGGTAGAGGATGAGGAATGTGATTCCTTAGTGCACCTGGAAACTCCTCACTCTCAATTCGTGCCTCAAACTTACAAGACACGAAAGTAATTCACAAAACCCCATAATCGCTTTGTACCTGCTTTCCGCGTATTATCGCCATCATCATCATTTTTCATAATACATCGGTTACACAGGTTGGGCTACTACCTACCATTAATGTATTACCACTTCCTCAAGCGAGGTGGACCAGTACAAAAAATTCCCCACCAAATCAAAAATGACAAAAATGAACAAGGAGATTGAGTAAGAATGGAGGTAGCCCAGGAGTATCGTAATTAAATACAAAGGGAAAAGAGAAAAGTAATAATTGTCTCAAACAATGCTAGTACGTGGCTGCTTGAGAAGGCGTGCGTCGGATGCTGCACTCAGCTTTCATTTCCGCATATTGCCTTGACCGCTCGAGCCTCGCTTGACTATCGTTACCTCGCGTTCGGTGGGGGGATTTTTCTATGTACAGCCATTCAGAGATGTTCCTCTTGGGCTGGTCACGGCGGCCCATGAAATGATCATCAATATGATCAAAGCGGACATCCTGAGGATCGCTTGTATCGACAATGGGGACACCGGCAGAACACACACCAGAATAAGGGCGCGGAGTAAATATTCTGCCTATCGTCCTCGAGCTTCGCCTCCTTTGTAGGAGTGCTCATCTCATGATGCGAGTCCTCCAGATGCAACTTGAAACAGTCGCAACTGCCGAAGACCTTTCCACATTTCTTTTCACATACCCACATCTCGGGCGGGGTGTGTTGCTGGCCTTCGTGCCTTTTCCAGTCGTCTTTGCTACCGAATGTCTTCCCACATCGATAGACTGTGCACCTATAGGGCTTTTCATGCCACTTTCTATATTTTCTGTGCCACGTTAGCAATGATTCCAAAGGTCTGATGATGTATGCTGATGGAACATACCTCAGTTTGCTTGGACACTAGCGGAGGGTTGAGAAGTATCCGGTTTGGGAGCTTCTTCCTTTTGACGCAATGCCGCTTGCAAATCCGTTGCGGGCACCAAAGCAAGGAACTTCAGCATCTCGGCCTGGGTCAAGCCGTTGAAGTATTCTCCAAACTTGTCCTCATTGATTTCAACTCCTGCCTTCTCATTCTCAGTGATTTCAACTCCCCCCTTCCCATTCTCAGTGAATTCAACCCCCCCCTTCTCATTCTCAGTGTCATCATCGAGGGCAACGAACTGCTCCTCGTCCGCGACGCTCTCAGCTAAAGTAGAATAATACTGCTGCCAGTCTATGTCGCTAACATGCTCGATTTTGTGGACACTCTTTAAATGCGCACGGAAGTTATCGGCTCTGGAGCATCTCTTCGGAAAGTCGTCGTCCTTCGCACAATCCCCGTTGGTGCAAATAGAGGTCTTCCCCTTGAGGTTATCGCGGTGGACGGTCCGTTTGTGTCGCGTGGGGGCCTGCAATTGCATCCATTGGTCTTCCGTTGCGACCTCAATTAGTGTTCTGCCTTCCGGGTTCGCAAGCTGCAAAAGCACACAAGCTGCGAAAAGTTCAGCTGTCATCGGTCTCTGAGGTGCGCATGCCGCATCATTGCCTGGCCTATCTTCGCTGTTATTCACGGTATTGTCCTTGGCTTTATCGAAAGTTACGTAGCTGTGATCGGCTAGGCTGATGAGGTTGGAGCCGAGATCGGTAGCGCTGGCAACAGGGGAGGAGCGAGGAGTAGGAATGCCCCCAGGTGCATCGTTGTTGTAGCCGTCGATTGTTGAGTGAAAAGCAGGACTATGCGTAGCAGCTTGGGAGGTAGACCCCATCATCGCCAGTCTGAGAGTCATTTTAAGGGTGTCCTTTATGTACACCCCCGTTCAGCGGCAAGGTACAATGCGCTTACAGGGTGTTTGGTGTACACCTCAGAATGGAAGGTACACCAAACGGCTTTTTAATCAAGGTATTTGACGCTCTGACCTCTCCATTGCCGGTGACAGTCTTCTTCCCAATGGGGGGTGGTAAGTTCCGGGGCTGTCATCATTGGAGGGTACTGATTTGAAGTAGACTCGGTCATTGGTTCTTTCGATAGCAGGATGTCAATACCCTATTATCTAGTAACAACACCCTCTGTACTGGCCAGGCTCACGACAACCACCCTTTCGCGACACTTTCTTAGGCATTCACCTGAGATTTCATTCCGTTATCTCATCTCAATCCTCAGTATCAAACTTAGAGACGCCACCATCACATCAACTTCAAAATGTCCGGCGGCTTCTACAAATATCGCTGTAAATACTTTTACTCCCACAACTGTACCAACTGGGTGTGGGTGAATAATGCACCCTGTGCCTCCTGCCTCGCGGAAGGCCGTGATCAAACTAGTGAGTCTTACATGCCAACTAACCCTTCATGCTATCACTAATCACTAACACGCATGCAGGCTATGGCCTCTCGCCACCCAGGCACAATAGAAAAGGATTCTTATCAGACTCTCGGGCCAGAAATGGAGAGATTTTCTTCGGCGTAGCACCCAATATCTTAATAGGATCTACTTTGACGAGGAAGGATCCAGATGCTTGATCTTATAGACTTGCCCCTTTGATCCTTAATGTAAACGTTCTATAGGTCTGTATTATTTGACCGAGAAGAAACATCCTATGAGAACCACATATAATCATCCTCGTGCTGATTGATTAAACAGCCGGTAATAGAGGTTGACACTTCCTCCCAAGGCTTGTGATGAACTGCCCATAATACAGCCTTTATCATTTCAACTCCTTTCAGCTCAGTCACCTAAACTCTAGGATACTGTGTTCCACGTGCTTGCGGCATCCTCTAGATCAGCCCGCCCGTCTGCTACCCCAAATTGTCATGAAATATTATCCCATGTTAGCCACCTTCCAGTAGATGCGATCCTACGTCCCAGCCAAAGGAGTCTCTCATTTCGCTGGTCGGCCATTGAAGCCAGCTCAAATTGCTTCTCGTCTTCCTCCACCTTGCTATCCTTGAACTACTGCGATGGTAGGTAGTCTTCTGTATAGATCAGGCTCCTTATCATAAAATCCTCCGGCAGAGGACGAGGAGTATTATTTTTAAGAGCACCCGGAAATTCCTCACTCTCCATTCGTGCCTCGAACCCACAGGACTGGAGAGTATGGTTAAGTATTGTGGTAGTAAGTTCCCATGGAAACTCACTCTCGCTCGAGATAAGTTATAGCAGCAGGGAATTTGCTTATATACCACATAAAGGCTGGGAACGTATAAAGAAAGGGTAATATGTTTGGATCTCCGAAACGTGAAGTAACTATTTCATAGATTTTCATCGCGAAATTGCATGCCTTGGGGAGCATCTCGTTAGGGACTGCCTGTTCAGCGCCAGCGCTGCTGCCGGTACCAATAGAACTATCACATTCTTCGGACCGTTGCGAGATCGCCTTCATAACAACATTTGATTCCAGTCCGTAGCCCAAGAGAGAACAACATAGAGGAATGCCGGTGTAACAGCCATTCTGTCTGATATACTTGCCCGACTTCAAGGTATTTCTTGGTCACCCTGCCAATATAAGGATCCAAGAGCGGCGATATCTCCATGGCAATTGCATGGTTCCCAGCGAGTAAGCACCCTAAAGAGAGCTCGGCGAGAAGCATTGCGAAAAGCTAAGAGAGCAATTGTGACTAGCGGGACTCAACGTAAGCCAATTCAGTAACAGTGAAACCTACACGTGTGCCCTTCAAAGTCCGCTTCCCTCTCGACTTCCCTCCCTCATCCGATGGCGATCCGACGACCTCTAGGCAACCAGTACTTTGAACTCATTGTTATCAATGGAAAGAGTCTAGCTCTGTTATCTCGCCCCGCTAGAGGGGGTTGGGTGTGTTGGCGCGACCAACACTATGCAAGATTTCACAAATAAAGTTTACATGATGTTTTCACATGTTCCTTGTGCGTATACAAAAGTTCATGCCATGGTCTAATCTCAGCTGGCATTAGACTAACAGTCCGTGCACAGGAGTACACAGGCGCCGTGGTGGAACTCTGGCAGCGACATGGACTCTGGAATGGCTGTGGAAGGCTGTCTACATAGGCATGCATGTACCCTGAGGTGCAGAGTGCTCCCTTACGTCGATCCATGTACTTCTAATGGAGGTATGTGAGCGGGCGGAAGGTCTGTACCTCCCATTTCGACCTCCAAGGTGTGTTCGCCCACGTTGGTTGCTCGACCTAGGTATTCTAACAAATGGTGTACGCTAAACATGGAGCCGTTTGATACGTAAAATATCCACGAGATACTCACCCAAGTGCCTCGCAGATCAATTATTCTTGTTCCGGCTTTCTCCTATGTACACAGAGAGAACACTAACAGCGCGTTCGCAAACAGAAGGGCGCGATTCAGTAGTACGTTGGAGACAAGCCTCATAACCGCAACGGCATAGCCGCGTCTACTTCTACAAGCCACGGAAGAGATACCTGGCCATCCCAAAGATGCACACATAAACCAAGTCGCACCATTGCTATACGGAGATGCCGCGGTTAGTAGCCATTGCATGGCTGGGAGGTGGGCGGTAGTGAATTGTAGTCATATACAGATCCGTTATAGCTACATGTCTAGCAGTGTCCACGTAGCACTAGGGGTGAGGTCCTCTTCCCCAGGCGCTTAATGGTGCATGATCCGGTCAGTAAGCGATATATCAATGAATTAGCTTATCTCAAGTTGAATAGGAATGGGGTAGTACTCAGATCAATACTTGCTATGGGGCAATTAGCAAAATTTACCAGGACTCAAACTAGCCTGACTCCCATCGAGCATCATACTGTGTCTTACAGTAGAATACCTTGTATCAGCGTCTTTTGTAACAGAAATCAAGCATGTTTCATGACTTTGTCTAAGAATTTGGTGTTGCAATGATTGATGTCTTAGAGCCTGCCTCCCGTGATTCTCACCCTACTTCGTCTTCTAGCTTCTGTGTTCACCCCTGTATTGGGGATGAGGTAGATTTATTAGATGTGCCCTCGTTGTCACATAAAGACCTACCAGCTGCATGCTTTTCTTAGCCGTAACGAGATAGACAGCACAAGTTGCCGCAGTGCCAAGAACCTTTGAGGGATAAATATACTGCTTGATCCCATCTTGTGGGATCTATTTTCCTCCGCAACTCTTCCGACTTACATTGAATCCTACTGCCTCCTCACTTTCCATCTAATATTATGGAGAAATTACATCCCGACGACTCCCATGTGAACAGACATGAGTATTGTAAGTCATCGCTGAAACTTAAACTTACTCCAGCTAACACACCTATGACTTTGCAGCCCAATATTCGGGCACCCATGAATCTTACGAGGAGCACACCGCTTGCGAAATTTTTGAGGTCACTGAGGAGATCTGTAGCTAACGCTATGAATGTTGCAGCGTGGATTGGGGCTGCAGTGGCAGGGCCAGGGACACTGCGATCAGCAAAGCGAAGGCAGGCTAGAACTTATCCGCAGAAAGCGGGAACTGCCCGGTTGGTGTCAGTGGGGGATGCGAAGCGATGGTTTCGAGTTGCCTTGGTCCAGGTAGCGGTCATTTGCGGCCTAATAACGCGAGGCATTCGAGGCCTAACGGTGAATACACTCAGCTCATCAATCCGTGGCAGCCCTAAAGATTTTTCTCCCCGCTCGCCTGCCAACTCGTCTCCCCCTCCCATCAAGCAGCGCTCGTAGCGCTCGTACGTCTGAGTGCTTATAATCAGCCCTTAACGCAAGCCCCGTCAATGCAAGGCACTTGGAATAATCAAGATCATAGTACAGAATCTACGAACACACCCAGCTCATCAATATACGGCAGCTCTAAACAAGCTGTCAGAGCGATATTTCAAAAGCATCAAGAGTGCTCATGCCTTCAGAATACCTTCCATCCTTCTTATGGGATTTGCCAAGTTCCTGTCGAGTGATTCCCGTATTCAGATCTCCACCCACGGCTTCTTAATGGTTGGAAGACGGAAAAACGTTCCCCCATTTGTGGGCTAGGCTGTCTGGCGCGTCCTGTCTCCTACATTCCCCCTGAATGTCCTGATACTTTCTTTCAAAAGAAGAAGTAAAAGGCGCTAGTGAACGGTCCTGTCTTTCCAACAGATTGTCTGCTGGCGGCTCTTCGACTACGCCTCGCCCAATTGAATGCCGTCCAAGTCGCCGTAGCCTCAAGCATTTTGTTTTTCATCCCCTTTGAGATGCAAGAGACGGAACTACGCGATGGAGGAGATGGGCCGGAATGCAGCGATTTAGGAAACGTCGAAATCCCCCCAACAATCAAGCACTCCTCAACATACAATCAGTCCGACTTTGAATTCGACCCGAATGAGGTCATAGAAGCCCTTTTAGTTGAATACAAAGCAAGCAATTTCAAAGGCCTGCTCGAAGGTTACAAACGAGAGATCGAGAAAACAACGCATCCCCCGTGTGCGAGAGAAGTGGAATCGTACATCGTCGGGGCGGCCTTGGTGAGCTTCGGCATGGTTAGTGTGCTCGAACTAGCTAACAGATTGCTTGATCTACCCGGCTCATAGGAATGGGCAATAGACAGCCCGGACTACAAGCAAATTTGCAAACGTCTGATCACACGAACTCAGCAGGCACAGAAAGCGAGCGGAAGCAGCCTGACGAATCCGAATGAAACGGTGTCCATGATGAAATACTACGGTAATCTGTGGGCCAAAGTTTGCGAAGAATCTCAAAAGATCCCAGTTTCTGAGGGGCGCGAAGCCTTGCTTGCTAAGCTGACATGCCCCTCGTGGCTATTGTTACAACTCTGGCGCGATATTAAGAATATCAGAAAGGAAAAGACCCTCCTAATCCTGCCTATACGCTTTTTGAGAGTATTCTATGCTGTTTGGAGAGAGCGCAGCGGTATCGGTGTGATTTTATGACGGTTTAGTGCGAAACCCCAGGGGAGGATTGAAATGGCTTTCTGGATCTATATCTCAGGTTAAAGAGATGTTTTGAGGGTTGCATAGTAATAGGACCGGCTATAGCAAGGAATAATAGAAGTTGGCTGCCCGGGGCGAATCTCAATTTATCTTGACAGCATCTAAATTGCGAGACATCCATGGCTGAGCGGTGATTAGCCAGGTCATCAATATGCGGCAGCTCTGAACAGGCTATTAGAGTGATATTTCAAAGGTATCAAGAGTGCTTATACCTTCAGAGTACCTTAAATTTGGATTGAAATCTGATAGGAACAAAAAGCGGCATAATGCGGAACAACTGACACCAGCCCGAATGAAAAGGGCGAGGGCGAGGGCATAATTCCTACCACACTCCTATATATAATATCGTTTGGATGAATTTCTAGTGAAAGATTGCTTGTGTATTGAATCAATACAATGCTCAAATTTTTGATCGAGTGCGTAGCTGTAATTTGCATGATGTAATTTAAGGCCTGTCTACGATTAACACCGACAGTTGGTTTGCTTTGGTAACTCCATCGCCCGGAAAGTCAGTCCTGACTCTGCATCTTCCCAATGAAAACATCCACGCTCATCAGCAACCTGCCGCGTCCAGCTCAAACCCCTGGATCCAGCCTTCAGCTGAAGACATATGACGCCAGCTGGAGCTATTTTAACTAGCAACGCGCTTTTTGCTATATAAAACGACTGTACCTCCACATCCTAATCCTCAACCGTAACAAAAGATTTTCCAAGGCCCTATCCCACAGAAAACTAAAGTGGGCTCTACTACCGCTCGCCCAGTTGATCACCCAATCGCTTGGATCTAAGACCAATGCTGATGATATGGAGCCAAATTCTAGGTGAAGCACAGATCTCTCCTTTCCCACCGGACGAGAAGCGTGGATGCCTAAATTGTCCCACGAGTCCTTGTTGCTGGCTTTGGCCGTTTCAAGGGTGGCCCCTTCCCAGGCTGGGATCATGCCGGTTCCGGTTTGCGAGGTCAATCTCGTCTTGCCGGGGGTACGGGTTCTACGACATTTTACATACAAGACGCAATTTAGCTCGCTCCATTTATCATCTTATGTAAATCTATTAATAATGCAGGCTCCTGCCCACTTATTAATAATAGTTTGTCCCTGATTAGATTAAATGTTGCTTTGGCCCTCAACCTCCTTCTTTCTTCCATACGAATCCACCACACCAGAGTTTTGGATTTTATGTTATTTTTTCTTCATCATCCCCACAATGGCGCCACCAATCAGTACGGTGCCTAACGAAATGTTGAGCCAAATTTGCTCATGGCTAGACATACCAAGTCTAAAATGTTTTCGGTTAACTAGGAAACACCTTAGGGATACTAGTTACGAATACATTTTCCGAAGAGTTCATGCCCCCCTTGAACGAAACCACGAGGAACTCATGAAAATGCTCTCAGAAAAAGAACTTAAGCATACAGTCGAATCTATCATCTTCTCAAAAATCCAAGGCGGGGCCATCTACACACAAGGGCGGTCGTCCGATCGACAAAGAGATACAACCTCCGAAATAGAGCAAACGGGCCTTCAAGAGTCGATCAACGACCTTGAAAATCTGAAAGAAGTCACATATCTATATTGGAACCCTGATTCAAAGCCCACCAAGAGTCAGCATGGAGATCCAGAGGGCTGGGTAGTGAGTCACTGCCGCCCTAAAAGCGAGCGTTATGGCCTTAACGAATTCATGCTTGTTCACAATGCCCTCGCCACATCAACAGCAAAAATTCAACTCCTCCGCATTATAAATCTAGGGGTTTCCATCTTTGAACCTTCCAAAAGCATCAGTTTTAAATACTGGAGCCTGTTAACACGTCTTGAGCTTTCTCTTGTTGATGACAAGAATGACAACTCATTACTTCAAGAGGGCTTAAAGCCGGTTCTACAAACACTTCAAGAACTTCGTTACCTTCGAATTTTCCTAACTACGGAGGGGGTAATACCCTTTGATTCAGTGTTAGAGAGTTCTTTTATGTGGCCTCATCTCAAGGCATTATGTCTTGGAGGATTTCGTTCAGAAGAAGAGGAATTGAAAACAATGATCAACGGCAAGATCATGTCCGAAGTTGAATCTCTCTGCCTTAAAAAGATTCAACTCAACCCGGGTTGGGAAGAGGTAATGTGTCAGGATGAAGTGGTGGGTCGGGAGAGTGCCCTTGATCTCATTAAAAAAAAATTCACTACATATCATTTACATCATTTGCCAGAGTTTTCGGAAGAGCTATCCGAAGGCGATTGTCCATTTTGCGTCAGGTGGATGGAGACCTAATGTATAGGAGTGAATACATAGCATTTATCATTACATTTGGCTTAGGGTAGTCAAAGGATGATACTGAATCAGACAAGGGCGGATGGCAGCTATGAGAATAACGCAGAGGAGGATAACACCTCATACAAGCGCAGCGTCGAGGATTACCATGATCAATACCAATATTTTCTTCATAATATTTAAGGCGCATTATTCATCCAGCTCCTATTGGCTCGCGAGACGAGTATTATCGAGAGTCTGCCGCACCGCACGGAGGACTACGCCAAAGCAGGCCGGTCAGCATCGACAGAGCAAACAAATATCGATACTAACCTAGGTACCACGAAGAACTTTTCTCATTTAACATATAAACACCAAGCTGTATCTGAACCCTCCTCATCGAGATAACTTCAAACCCTGATATATACAGGAGTAGCCGATAGTGGTATAGAAACCCTAGATATGTTCAACGCTGAATAGCGAACACACCCAACTCATCAATATGCAGCAGCTCTGAACAGGGTATTAGAGCGATATTTCAAAAGTAGTCAGAGTACTCATACCTTCAGAGTACCTTCCACCCTGCTCATATACCACCACTTCATCTCCCCTCCCATCAAGCACAACTCGTATATCTTCTTCGTTGTAATTAGCCGCCAATACTACTTTCATTAATGCAAGACACTTGGGATAATCAAGATCGTAGCATGGAATCTGCCATTCCTTCAGAGTTGCTCTCGCCATCTTGCCGGACCGTGCAGCTATAACAACAAGTATCCCCTGCGCTGCTGCATCTTCTAAAACAGCCGTGGCATCTTCTGGGAACCATCCATCCCCAACCCCAGCGGCAACGACCGCTTTTGGCTTCGTATTCACAATAGCCTCAAGCGCCATTATGTCCATGTCCTGAGAGCCCATCACGAGCACTACCCGCTGATTCAAGTTTGTCACCTTCTCCAGGGGGACACTGTGTGCGCCTGAGACGGAAGGTGGGTAGTGAAAGCTTACCCTTCCATCTAAGACGGTGCCATACTCCAGACCGCCGAGCCCACCGATTCTTCCTGCATCACGTTTGACAGCATGCTCGGCGAGAATAATGAGTCTGTTCATCAGAATCATCACGTCTCTATTCCTGGCACCACAGTTGGCAAGCACAACTAGCGCATCATCGAGATTCTCCGGGCCATCTCTGCATTCTGCTGTACTTGGGTTCGATGCGCCAGTGAATACAATAGGAATCCCTTTCATGCGAGGTCCTATGAGCCACTGAATGATCGATGCGGTTTCTGCCATGGTGTCTGTGCCGTGTGTTACTAGAATACCATCTGCTCCATCCGTAATGCATCGAAGGACAATCTTGGCCAAGGTGATTATATGGTGCATCTTGATCTCGTGGCTTCCGATATTCCAGGGCTGATAAACCAAGATATTGTAGTTCGTGATACTAGCCCACTGATCGAAGAGTGTCTTGCCGTAGGCAGGGCTATTCTCATAATATAATATCTGTTCCGGATCTTCTGCCCCTGCTTGAATCGTCCCACCAGTCGCGATCACACAGATGGTCGGGCGGTCGTGTTGGTACTCCTTTGAGACCAGCTCAAACTCGGCGCCGCAAGGCTTTCTGCATGATGCTAGTACAAGTAGATGGAGGGAAACTATGAGTTCTAATGGAGGGTATTAGTGGCATCCAGTGTTGAGGGGGGGGGATAACTCTCACGTCGTAGGATTGATCGCATTTTGTAATAATAGGCACGAGGATGACTATGGTAGTGTTGGAGTAATCTCTAATTTTTCTGGGAGAAGCATACCGCGTGTGTAGGATGCAAGTATCGACCTCATCGGAGTCAGTGTGAGAAGAAACCCCGATGCATGGCAAGGTGGCGTGTGTGTGCATATCTCATGTCGTAGCGCCAACCCTCCAAGTACAGTATCGGGGGACGCGATATGGCCAGACTTGTCGCGTTAGCGTAAGTGGTGGGCGCTGCTACGTACTTAGTTCATGATCAGCCCCTGGAGGTTCCGGAAGCCAGTTGACGTCACGGTCTCCCATTGGCTCGCGAGACGAGCAGATCGAGAGTCTGATGCACCGCACGGGGCAGCAAATATGCAGCCTAATCCATTTTACGCATAACCTTGCGTTAGAGTTAAGGGGAATACAACCTGGTCGTTGTGGACCAGTCAATAAAGTCTACGAAGCTCCCTCGGCGCCCTGATCTTGTGACAGACGGACTCCTTCATCTGCATGTTTTTGGCTGGTATAGGCCGTTATTTTGAATATGGACATATCCGAAATTTTCGTTTGGGTAGGGTCGCTACGACATGGGCCTTCTTCACCAGTAGGCCAACATACCGAGCACGAGCCGTTCAACCGCGACCATGATGGACACACACAAACCACTGGCGGCAACATCACCATGTCTGAGTCCGCACTCGTATCTGATTTCGATAGAAGCGACGCGGGTTCGACATTACTAGGCAGCGGCACGAGTTTAATATCACTAGGCGGCACGAGCGCTACAACTCTGGCCGAAACTGAGGCGCCAGGAGCTAGTCAGGTCTGGTCGGCAACAGACGCGGACGATGATCCTGGAAATTCTGATGCCGACTCAGGAATTGGCGGCGACGACGATGATCTTGGACCTCACGATGGTGACTCAGGAGTTGGCGACGCCAACTCTAGCACTATACCCTGGGACCCAGAAGAGGCAGAGACGCTCATTACTCTGGATCAGGAAGATATGAATTTCGCCAACATTGGCTGTAGGATGTTGAACATAGATCAGCATCCACATGTGCCACCGAGCGGCAAGTTTCTGGATCTTGGTTCGGGGAATGGGGAATGGGCAATGAGGATGGGTGATCAATACCCTGCTGCAACTATTGAAGGCATGGATACAAATGAGTGCTATATCCCCGAATGGGTGACTCCAAATGTCGAGTTCTTCGTTGGCGACTTTTATGATCGTTGGGAAGAGGAAGTTGACGACTACGACTTTGTCCATGTTCGAGATATGACAACAGATGCCCAAGACTGGCCAAAACTCGTGAAACGTTGTCACGAGCTCCTTAGACCTGGGGGATCTGTTGAAATTATCACATTTGGGCCAACTCTCTATTATCATGGACTGAGGCTCACGTTCGCAGAAGGTCTCGTACCAGAGATTCCAGAAAATATCAGGGCCAAACATGATATTACAAAAGAAGAAGTCATGATCGTCCTCTCTGCAGCCAGTATCATAGATACTTTCGTACAGGAGTACAGTAAGAACAAGTGGCTCCTAGATCCCGACGATGAGATTCTACGCAAAGCTGGATTTATCGGTGTCACAACAACCCGTCACCGTGTACCTCTAAACACAAATTCCTGCGCCTCTGAGGAAGAGCAGAAGTTCAGCAAGGAATACTACAGGAGACTCAAAGCCATGCAGACTCGTCTGGGGTTAAAACTTGAACTTGAGATAACGGTACCGATTGCGAAGCTAAGCAGAATAAAGGGCGTTGCGTTAGAAGTAACCGTTATTTATGGCATAAGCAGCGAGAGTTCCTCAAGTTCCTAGGGTATACAGATATTCTTTGCGTATAAGAGGCCAGAGCTTTGATAAAATAATCCTTCAATTTTTTCCATCATATCTATTGTTGGAGCGTGTGGTGCTATTCGCCCATAGCATCAGCATATTTGTCGTTGTCTCGATGTTTATAGTAAGCATGTGACTTGAACTGAATGCAGCCGTACAGCTTAAAGCTCACCCCCTGGTCAATGAACTGCTGACATTTGCGCAATTTAAGCACCATGAGGCTAAAGTAATGGTAATGGTCACCAGCCCGAGTAGCAAGCTGAAAAAGAGATAGGTGTGCTCTCGGAATACGCTGGCAATTGCGAAACCTTGGCGGTCGTAATGCATTGCAATATCAGACACCACCTGCATCTAATTACATGACCCCGTGCCAAACACCTGCCACGATCAGCTACCTAAGAATGGGTACATGATTTGTGGGGCGATATTGGTCCACACCTCATCACATTCCACACAACTTTAGAGACAGAATTCGATTGGCTCACTGAGCCGCGGTCGGCCACCGGCCCCCCCTTCCGGCGCGTCGCGTCAAGCATGCAGCACATATTTTTTATGCATCCAAGATTGGCGCCCGCTAGCTCAACGACTTCAGATGGGAAGTGCTCCTGGTCACATGTACGGCCAAGTCCGCTTTTCATCACTTGCAAGCGGACCGTTCCTATCCTAGGATGATTATATTGCTGCCAGTGTTGTGCTGGCTCAATGAGCGAGATGTGTTCGGACGGTGCCAAACCTTGTCTGTTTGATTGATCAGACCGGAGGCACATCGACTCAGCTCCTCGGTTGGGTGAGACCCAGGCTAGACCAAATCACTTGCGACGCCCGTATCCTCTAACTTGCATAAGTAGCCCCTACCTAGTGAAAGCGGGGTGGATGCGCTATGTACCTGACACTTGATTCCTGAAAAGAGTAGGAAACACGATGTAAATCAGGGTCATGTACCTCTGGCATACCACCACGCTCAGGTACATGTATTGTGGGGCATCCCACCACCAGCTTAGATTCACACCTCACCAGGGTGATTGTTCACTGATGGGGCTGGGATTGGCTTGGCGCGTAATCCGACAGTCCACCCTTCTTCTCATTAAAGGCTACTCAGATGCTCGGAGGGACATTGAACGAGCCAACACGAGCACTGATCAGCTAACACATATAGGACGGCTCAGCCGGCCAATACTCCACCGAGTCAGTCATTAGCTCTTGCAGGTACGTTCCATCCTGACATCAACCCCACTGTCAAAGGGCCCAAACTGGCCGTTCCAGGTCCAACCAGGTCTATTGCGCCGGTACCATGTGAGCCACCATATCCAGCATTGCTTTTTCCATCCTGATTGGCACTAATGCGCTTTTGCACCCTTCTCGGTTGTAATAACGCCATCTGGACATGGACAGGCAGTCCCGTTCATAATGTCGCTCTGCATGTTGGTCGTTAGCGTTGTTGTCGCGCCCATGGCTCGTTGCAGCAGTACGTAAGACATTCTGGTTACGAGGTAAAGACCACACAGAGCTTGCAGATCATGCAATCTACCCAAAAGCACCAGACTCATCCACCAACTCTTCAAGTGCACCAGCAAACACTAGTTCCAAGTCCCAGGGTGACTATACTAATGAGAGCGTAATCAAGACGAGAGGCAGTACGATTAACCTATTACTAGGCAACTGCCTCCATAAAAATTATATAAGGTATCCCCTTCTCCTACCTTCAGAACAGTAAGCCGCGGGCACATCAGTCTTCATCATTCATACCACTACATACCGCCAATTATGGTTAGATATATCCTTCCCATAAAAGTTAACTATATTGATATATTCCTAGGATTGCTATATGTGTATGAGCGCGCAAGCTCAAGAAAGCAATGAACCCTGCTATCAATGCAAGAACAAACATGAATTATCTCAGTTCTATATCAATTCACTCCCAATCACTTCTCTTCTTCAACAATTCCAAGTGACACTCGCGCTACTCGAGTTATACAACGAGGAGAATCACACCATACAAGTTTCTTCATGGATCTATCCTACATCCTGCTTCACACAAGACACCACTGGACTAGTGTTTAAGGGGTTCAAATACGTCGCAGTGGATTTCAGCTCGCTGAGCTACGCGGCCTCTACTGGGAACCTCACCTTAACCAAAGCTCTTCTTCAATCCCGTCAACTGGGACGGAATCCAGACCTCACAGATGCCACAGAGGCACTCAGCATCGCCGGCTTCTTCGGTCAATTTCCCGTTGTAACACTACTCCTTTCAATGGGAGTTCGCGCACACTCCCACGTATGCTATAACATACTACACGCTGCAGCTTATCACGGCCAGCTCAGCCTAATGGAGGACCTCGTTTGTAAATACAAAATCGACGCCAACGTTGAGGATCAATTTGGTGCGACCCCAATACTCTGCGCCATAGGTGGACAATGCCGGATTCTTGCAGGACGATCCATAGGGAAGTTAATAGAATTAGGAGCCAATCCTAACCACAACATCATGGGTAGGAGCTATGCCGACTATGCTAAAGCTATGGGAAAGGATGAATTGGCAAATCTCATAAAGCTCATGGCCGAGAACGCTATTAGCCCCATCAAAGCCTCGCAAGGAGAAGAGGAATCTTCCTTTCAGATAGCTGGGGGATCAGAATAATAGTAAGCTATTAGTATGGATCAAATGATTGATTATAAGTAGAGGTAAAATATAAATAAATTCAGAACTTTCCTAGATCTAGTATCTTATTGAATGGAAAGACTAGACACCATCTGGATCCAAATGAGAGGGTAGGTGCCAGGACACACTAAATGTACACCTTGCCTTGTTCCAGCGTGGAAAGAGGCATCCGATTGGCTGAAAAAGCCGCGTTTGGCCGCTGAGTGCCCTGAACTTCGATGTTAGACCGGACCAAGATCAGGTCAACCCGTCGCGACGATCATATCATGATCTAACCTTGCATAAATTGTTAAACTATGAAAGAAGGGATAGGTGCGCTATATACCAGAAAGAGTACCATGCAGGAATTCAGGGAGGTGTACTCCAGCATGCCGCAACACTCAGTGCATGCATGTATTGTGGGGAATCCTGGCGTCACTAGCTTGGATTCAAACCATCCTTACACCCCTGATGGAAGGTGACCAAGCGCGTAACCCGCTCCATCCATACTTGCTCTTCCCCCATCAAAGGCTATTGAGATGCTCGGAGGATGGACAAATGAGCGAACATGAGTACGTATCAGCCAATGCACAGGGGCCAGCTCAGCTAAGACTCCAATGATACTAGTTCTAAGTCCTTGCATATTCTGTTCCACCTCGATATCATCTCCACCGCGGAAGAGGCCGGACATGCGATGACAGGTACGCTCCCTCCACACCAGCTTCACCACCTGGGCCGCAAAAGGCCGGCACTGCTTTTCATCATGTGTGGCACTAATGCGCCCTTGCCAACCCCATGACTGGTGCACCATTGGGGTCAGGGACAAGCCGTCTGTATTGGTGCTGGATCAAGATCCAACCTGCATACACTTTGCTTTTGATGTCGTTGTCGCATCCAGCTGCTGTCCACATGTGAGACATCCTTGGTGCCGCTTTGGTCCGACCCTCCATGATTTACCCCGTATACGCTATGACCTTGTATATAGCATATTGGATCGCCAACTTGAGTATAATCCTACTTGGGATATGATTAATGCCACTGCCCAATTTATTTCTATAGTCTTCTTGAGTTTATGAATGGTTGAAGCAGCACAAGATGAAACAATCATCCACGACTCGGCGTGCGGTCCGGAAGAGTCGTACTTCCATCACGATGCCATCGCAAGCTACAAGACGTGGGACTAGCAACAATACCTCCAAAGCCCGGGCCAAATCTCGACCTAAGATTTCCAGCTCCGAGGCCACGCCCGCTACAAAAGATTGTGCAGCTGCCCAGAGCCATCAATGCGAACCTCCCAACGTATCATGTTCCTCCAGTCAACCAAGTCAAACTCCAAAGGCATGCACGCCGAGTCCCACCGGCAAGAACGTTCTTTCACTACAAACCTCCAGCATCCAGAAGAAGCAAGCTCCCTTCAGCGACCATGTCATCATGCACACTGTTGATCCTGACAATGCGATCGACTCCGACTCTAAGAGTGACCATATTGATGAGAGCGCAATTGACGACGAGGATGACTCCTCCGACTGGGAGGACTCGATTGAGGACAGTGGCAAGTCTAGCGTTGACGACAAGTACTTCCAGCGTGTTGACTCCAAGGTCAACCTCACCTCCCGGAGATCCCTCATCACCCTGATGCTCACACAGACTGAAGACCGCGCAGAGGCCCTCAGCAACCATGCTTCACAGTCAACATCCGCTATCCCACAGTCGCGCAATCGCAATGGGCCTGCCTTTGCTGTCTCTCCCAACGACTCTGACGATGCTCCCCTCATGATGAAGGGTAACCGCCAGGCACCCCTGAAGCCTATCCGGGAGATTCCCCGATCAAGCGCACAGCCTATGCCTATCGCAGAGACCCTCAGCAACCATGCTTCCCAGCCAATACTCGTTATCCCACAGTCGCGCAATCGCAATGGGCCTGCCTTTGCTGTCTCTCCCAGCGACTCTGACGATGCTCCCCTCATGATGAAGGGCAACCGCCAGGCACCCCTGAAGCCTATCCGGGAGGTTCCCCGATCAAGCGCACAGCCCATCCCCACCGTCGCTCACGGCCAAGCTCAAGGCGCTCTCTCTCCTCGAACTACTCGTCGCAATATGCTTGCTACGGAGTTGACCGAGTCTCTTCGCCGCCACCTCCTGTGGGAGCGATCTCAAAAGTCTTCTACCGTTAATGCAGTTCTCAAGAGACGTCACACCTCACAAGATGTGGCCAACCTAAGGCAATTCCCCGAGAAGTCCTGTATGAAGAAGACCGAAGATGCCAATACCAGCAGCTGGAACCAGTATTTTGTCAAAGAAACCTTCGATGGATACCACTCTAAGGGCTGGTAGACTTGGGTGTGTTACCTTTGACAGATTTGTTCTGATTGATGATTATTGGTTGAATGCAATACAATATAATTGCTGTCGCAGCATCTCTCCACCGTTCCCTCTTGTGATTGCGACCTTTCTAAAAGAAGAGAAAATATGGCGTATAACAATCAAATTGAATATCATCTCCGTTAGTAGAAGAACAATCCACAGAAGGTAAACAGCCGTGTCGTGGCTGAGATGGAAGTCAAGCCATATCACGTGACGATCGCCTGTGAAATACAGAGCGACAAAAAAATCCAAATACGTCCATGCCATAGTGAGGTGGTGCACGATGTGAAACTTGGCGGAACACTTCTTACGAAAGCTGTTATTATATTGGGCAACATCTGCCAGTATATGCCTTCTTTAAGATTTAGAATACCTTCGTAGTATCTTACCCAAGAGACAGAGAAGACACTTCGATACGTTATCCGGTTCTATAGGGTAAGCGGCCTTTGCCTATGACCAGAGTTGACCCACTAAGATGGAGTGATGTGGTGAATGATTTCGGCTAGCGAAACAATATTATTACATTCCGGATGGCCACATGACTTCGCGGTCCCCGCTTGCTGGCAAAGCGAAATGATCTTCACACCTGACGGTCCAGAGATTGCCTAATGACCTCAGATGTCACCCTTTTGGCATACAGCTTGGGCTCTTGATTCACATACTGAGTGCGATATCGCAGTCTAACTATTTGAGGGCCTTTGCATCGGTATCAAAAGAGCGCAGCCTGTCGATGCAATATTATTCATCTTTACGTTTAATAACTGTTGGTCCGGTCCGGATCGGATAAGCTCATGTTTATGCTTGGGCACATGTTCAAACCACGTGACCCCTGTTTGATATCACGTATTGCGTTGGGTACTGCTACATGACTAGCAAATGTCTTTGCTAATAGTTGCAGACCGCCCATCGGTTGGGGTTCCCTATACTTGTTTGATTTCACGATGATAGAGATACAACAATAAATCAAGTCGCTATCAACACTCCGTTCTCTCTCAATTTATCAACTGATTCATGAGCAACGGGTGTGATGGAGGTTACTTCAACTTGGTTAAAATTACTTCTATAGGGTAAGCATGTGGCTACGACCTCCGGTTAGTGCAGGGTTTGGGCTAGCAGTTCCTGAAGCCTTAGGTACTCTAGATGATTTGATTTCGGAAAAGCTTCGGAACCGGAAAATTAGTCATTGAGCTGAATGATATCACATGAGCAATCTTCTTTATCAGGATTGAAATTGATTGTCTCCGGTTTCCCCCCGACCCAAGGGGCAAACGTGGTCTTGTGCCGGCGAATACTGCAACCACTATTGATACCCGACACCGTCAACAGTCGCCCAACATCACTTCAAATGCATATATTCCGGTCCGTGGCTGAGTCCAAGACTCCGTCCTATCGAGAACTGAGCAGGACTGCCGCAAATCTTTCTACCTGTCGTCGCGTCTTCTGACTTCTCCCTATCATGGATGCGCCTCCTGTGTGCGAATTGCTTGCTCTTCATGATAAGCCCTCTATGAAGCCACGCTAACAATCAATACATTTTCGAAAACGAGTAGATATGCTCCAGAGACGAGCATGAGAATTTATTGGCGGGGATGTTCGGGGACGGGTAGCATTGTGGTTAATGGAACACCAGTGGACTAGAGCCAGCTTGATAGCGATCTCGGGTCATTAGGTGCTTATCTTTCGAATGTGGGTATATCGTTGCAAAGAAGATAGAAAATGAGTCACTTTGAATTCCAAGGAATTATATTATTCCTTTATAATTCACCCGAAGTCTAGCCTATTCGTCGCAGCTTAGGCACCAATGCTCCAACAGAATTCACGTGATGATGACTGTAACCACCAATGGCACCTCAGGAAACCTAATCGATTCATTGGCTGGATTGGGGGCATGGCTAGTGGTTATGCACGTGACGTGCTGCAGTTGTCAAATTTATGCCCAAGCAGTTTGTCCCCTCTAGAAACGGCCCAGCATTTCCATCCTCGTACAAAGGGCGGGGCTCAGTTCCTAAAACATCATGATATTCCTTCGATCAGAAGAACTTTAATGCCTAGCTGGCCTTCAAGTGATCAAAATTTGGTGAGTTATTACTCTAAGCTATCTTCCGGGCTCACTGACCATGACCTCAGGCTCATATTCGCGTTACATTATTCCTCGCCATGTCCGACAAATCTCCTGAAAACAAGACCGAGACAGCCGAACTGGAAAAAATTGGGCAGCAAGCATTGGCTGGCACGCCTGAAAGTATCGAGGGCTGGCATGATTTTGAAATCAACGAGCGGAAGACGGTAATAGCTACGGGCCTTGCTGTATTTATTTTCTCTGATAAGAATGCGTCAGAGTCAAGGTTTCTGAACACTACCACCGGGGATCGTGGGCAACCTGTATCAGAGGGCGAAGTAGTCCGCATATTGACTGGAACAGTTCAGTTTCTGCCTCGCTCCTGAAAGGGATTTACTTCTCATAAGCCAGGCTGTGGAGAGAAAAGAGTAACCCTGAGGATGTGGGATGATAGCTCTCGCCCTCTGGTTTAGAGGCTTAATAGTTATATTGGCTCTATCTAGACAAACTGGCAAACTCCGTGTTCACCCGGCTGGAGTTCGTAAAGTTACACAGCGCCACAACATTTCTTGCCGCCTCTCCTCCCATTCTAATAAGGAGAGAGTAATCTCCTGATCCCCGCAAGTATGCCACAACACAATTTGTATGCTCAGTCTGACCGGTCTCTCTCTCCAACCTCCAGGTCTCGCTTTCTTGTAAAGGTTGTAAGGATGCTAAAAATGCAAACAGGGTTGGGAGACAATCGACACGAGCACGAATGCATTGGACAGTCTCGCGCTCGTTAAGACTGTCAAATATATTTGTCTCGTTCGTGTTTGGTTGATTTTGGGGAGGACAGCAATCAAGGAAGCGGGCGGTCGCATATCGCTGTATGCGCCCTCCAATTTTGCGGAGCTGTTCTTTGGTCAAGTCGATCTTTCTGGAATTCATATATTGGTTGACATGAGAGGCTTTGAAATATTCCAATATCTTTGGATCGCGGAGCTGGCTGGTATTAAAAGATATTGCACAGAATGCTTGTTGAATTTTTCCTAGCTTGGAAACCTCTGTCCATAGATTGCTGTCTTGCTTGCTTGCACCAACAGTGCTAACAAACGCTTTGGCCTTATCAAGAGCTCTGTGAGGGAGACTCTTTTCGCCCAGGTATTCTTTCCCTTTGTCAAAAGCCGCTATGATGTCACCATATGCTTGCAACTCCCGAACATGCTCGCCGATTCGCTGTTGCACGTCTACAGTTGGGTCGGTGAAAAAATTGAGCGAAAAAGCCATGTGAATGTTGTGGTGTTCAGAACAAAATTGTTGAAAGTTAGAAATGTTCGTTGGCCTAGATGTTCGCTGACCCGGGTGCTTGTTGACTCGGATCGATGACTCGGATCGCTGCTCGCTCTGACGAGCCCCCTAAAAATGTGGGGTGGGCACCAGTAGTCCTTTTCCCTCATTTAGCGGACCGGTGACGTACTTGCTGACTGAGCAACCCTTGCTCAGTGACTCTCTGGCCCGGGTGATTACTGATGCTTATTCAGCCAGGCTCGCTAGCCCGGTATTCGCTAGCCCGGGTACTCGATGGCCCGGGTACTCGATAACCCGGGTACTCGATAGCCCGGGTGATTACTGATGCTCATTTAGCCAGGCTCGCTAGCCCGGTATTCGCTAGCCCGGGTACTCGATGGCCCGGGTACTCGATGACCCGGGTACTCGATAGCCCGGGTGATTACTGATGTTCATTCAGCCAGGCTCGCTAGCCCGGGTACTTGATAGCCCGGGTACTCGATAACCCGGGTACTCGATAGCCCGGGTGATTACTGATGCTCATTTAGCCAGGCTCGCTAGCCCGGGTACTTGATAGCCCGGGTACTTGATGGCCCGGGTACTCGATAACCCGGGTACTCGATAGCCCGGGTGATTACTGATGCTCATTTAGCCAGGCTCGCTAGCCCGGGTACTCGCTAGCCCGGGTACTCGATGGCCCGGGTACTCGGGCTTTGTATATACTTTCCAGTCAATGGAGAGGCTTTAGCCAGTTGATGCTATTGTTGAGGTGTAAAGGAAAAAGCTTGCAGCTTATCTGAACCCCTTCATCAAGTGGCCCACAAACAAATTTACTTCCTCTGAAAATACTGTTTGAGCATTCTATATTTAAAGAGGGTGAGCTGGTTTGATAGAACACATGATTGGCTTGCGACCAGTATACACTGCGGTAAGTAACTTGTTAATTTCTTAGCTAGAGGATAGATCGATGTGTCATGGCACGCAAGTAGACACCCAGGACTCATCTCGAGTGGAAATATCCCATATCTAGATAGATTAATTCAGCATCTATCCAAGTTCCGTTCTTTCCTGCTAATCTGCGACTAGAGCTTGCTGGGGCCATACTGGGACGGTTCCAATGTGGCCAATTAAGCAACCTAGTCCATACCATAGCTGCAAGAGACAAGGCATGTTCATTCCCCGGATGGCTAGCAGACAACTCTCCTGCATAATATGACGGTGCGTTGGTCTGGAAGACGTCGTGGGCTTCTGATTGTTAGCTGCATGACCGATCACGTACATGATGGTGTGTGTGCTAGGGACGACAAGCCCTAGCACTCGCTGAGCCAACGAATGGCTGCATCTATAAGGTGAAGCGAACGGGTCTGTCGTTTCTGCGGCCGACCCATCGACCTTGACCGCTGCATACGGTCACAGTCGGTAGTCTAAGAAGAGGGGACGACACAAGTTCCGTTCTTCAGCTGCAGGTTTGAGGTTGAGATGGGTGGATTGGTGATCTGGGATAATTGCTCGACTGATCCCTGCGGTTGGCTGTGTAGTATATCATCTGCAACCATTGTCAATATGGCCAACAAGCGGCCTAGTTTCCGTATAGCTGCAGGAGACAACGCGCAGGGATAGTATCCTCCCGGAAGCGAGGCTGTTTTGACCGATGGGTAGACCGTAGATGTGCCTCGTCTTAGTATTATAATTGAGGGCGTTAGGCTCGTTGTTCGCCTGAGAAGATCATCTTTGCCACTAGTATCTAGTCTCATCAGCAATGCCATCTAACGAAGAGAGCAACAGCCAGCCAAGTGGCACTGACCAAAGCAGTTCATCAGCTGAAAAACCAGCTCCCGCCGCCCCGACTGAAACTGCTACAGGATGTGGGTTGTTTGCTCTGATCTGTGGCGAGTATGCTAACAGTTGATAGATACCTTCACGAATCTCCCTGGTGCGAAAGAAGAATCCGTTGGACAAAAAAAATGATAGAAAGCCGACAAGACATTTGGTGCGGTCGTTGTGTTTTGGGGGAGGAGGCGGAGCAATTACCGATAATATATGTTTGAATTTGTGCTGGTGTAGACAGCTATTGTAACTACCTGATGGACCGTTCAGTTTCACCTTAATCAGGTAGAGAACAGGAAACAAATTTTGCACCAGGTGCTTCAAAGGAAGAAAAGACTCCTTGAAGTATCATCGCATACTTATGTGACCATTGGAACTCGATCTTCTGTTCCAAATGTTTGATGCACACATTTGATTCCTTTCCGTCCGTCCGGACTAAAACTTGCAACCACTCTGGAGAACTCAGCAGCGTACCGCATTTGAACTGGACCGATACGACTCTCCCGCGGGTTGGTTCTTTGCTTAGAAAACCCCCCTTTTGCTTCTGGGGTCAGCAGAGCTAAGAAAAGAAGTAAATGGAACCCCGGAACTCACCAAAAAGTCAATCACTTTGTCCTTAAGGCTCCTGTGCCGCCGGGACCATTCAAATACCAGTATAGTAATTTGATCATCTTCTATACAATGTTGTTTTCGTTGATCGTTTCCGACTTCTTTGGCCATCTCCAATGTCTCAACCTCTAAGAGGCATAAACGATAGATGTTGGATTTTGGATTGGCACTTGGAAACACCTTGGGTAAATGAATAAGGTCTCCCCATTCCAGTGCACCAGCACCGGTTTCACCTTCGTCTGTATCATCAAGGCCATCTTCCACTGCGGAGTCATTGGATTCGAGGGAATCTGTATAGTTCAGGATATCTCCCAGGTCGGTGTAGGTGGCTTCGGCGCAGCTCGGCGCTGACATAGGCTCGGCGGGAATGTCTGCGTTTTCTTCAACATCGACCGTATTTTCTGCGCCGGCTATTTGAAGGAGATTCTCTGTACCATAGACTTGTGGATGGGCGGTAGTGGTATCTGGGTTGGGATAGTTGACGGTCTCTGTTGGAGTCGCTAACGGAGTGGGTTCGAGTTCGAGAGAGACTATAAAGTTTGTATAGACCGGGTCGCTGAGGAAATGACGAACGTAATTGTCAAGATCCGGAAATAGACTCGGCACTCGATTGTGATTCGGGTTGCAAATTGCTCCAGCAATCGTGAAATTAGCACATTCCAGCTGGCGGACAGTGATGTTTGCTATGTGTTGTTATTCTTAAATTCTTGAATGAGATCGATCGATACATACCATGGTATAGCCCATCGAAGTCGAACGAGTTGTTAATAAGACAATTGTCCCACCAATGCGTGAATTTTTCCATCCATTGATTGTATATTGGGGGCCGGCGACAATTCAAGCCGGCATCTTCACAAAATCGATCCAGTATTGTTTTGCGCTGAGTTGGGGCGAGAAGAACAAGTCTGAGATTGACCATACGGAGAAAGTTCTTATCCTTTTGCATGAAGTCTTTGCACGAGTCGCCGGGCTTCCACTGGAGAAGTTGCGTTGCGGGCACAATGTGAGATTGCCATGTGATCAGCGAGCTCGCCTGTGAGATTGGACGGCTGTGTTGTGGTACCTTCACCACTCGGAACGCGCGTGCTCCTCGTTTCGAGCCTCCCATTGCAACAATTCTGGTGATGGAAATGAAAGTGTGAGGGAAAAAGGGGGGAGGAGGCTGGGTAGAAAATTGCCTCTTTAGGATATCTACGTAGACGTCCTAAAGAGGCAACTTTTTAGCGTGTTCGTCATGGATGCATCAAGTGACATCTGTTTTAATCACACCCCTTTGAGATCGAATACCCACCCTGATATATGCATGGTACCCATGCCTGCAAGGGCACATTTAGCATAAGAGCAGGGATCTTAAATACCCTGCGATAACGCCATTGTACTCAAAATACTTATGACCTGTACTCCACCTTGTTTCTTCCGGCCTTAGGGGAGACATACATAAGAATATGCGCTAAATGCTTGGCGACCTTGCAGGATCCCAAGCTGTTCGGTACACCCCTCCTAGACCGCGATCTTGCCAAGCCGGGGCTGCACACCACCAGGTTTCTGGGATCCACCAGCCCTAACAACATCTCAGGTCCCGCTACTGGGGTGATCCCGACGCAGAACTCGCTCAGGCCGTCGCTTTAGCAGAGAGTCCTTCTGGAGCATAGCAAGCATCCGATCAAGCTGCTCTCGATTGCAACACAAAATATGAAAGGGGCCTGAATACACTGGAAGGTATGGTTATGGATGCTCTTTGCTTTTTCGCCTTTTGGCTATAAGGAGTTCCCCACGGGCCGTTCTTATTTGATCTGGTAACCTACCTATACTGCATCATGGACGACCCAAAGCTTGTAGCTATTGTCGTTACTCTACCTGTATTTGCAGTGCTTTGTATCCTCTTTATTTCTTATTATTGCCTTGGGCTCAGGCGGCCCAACAAACCAGTGAGTCATGTCGAAAGTGGTTGTCAGTGGTCTCTTGACTCGGGGGGGTCCTCGCGGGATGATGTGCCATTACAAGGCAAGACGGCAAATTATCTCGAAAGTGCAGGGGCCTGTAGCATGCGGTCAACATCGTCACAGCTCCCTCTTGATCTGATAGATTCATACAACACTGAGCCTCACAATCTTCAAGCGGGACCGAGTCAATCGCAAAAGGAACGCATACAAAAGCAAAGGGAACGGAACGGTTTGCAAGTATTAGTTATTGCTACCAAAAAAATCGTTCAGTGAGTTGAGTTCGGTGATATTTCCGCACCCAAGCTGACGAGTTCTAGAAATAACGCTAATTATTGTTGCACCCTGGAGCCTAGCCATGATTCATTGAATGTGGGATTCCGTTGGGGAAGCGAAGACTTGGAGAATGGCAAAAACAAGTATCACATTATTCACTTTTTTGATGTTAAAATCAACCAAGATAATGTGAAAAAAATGAAAGACCACCTCGTTAGCGATGGGTGCATATATGAAAGGGAGGGAGAAAAGTGTCTCGAGCACAATGACTTGTGTTACCACACAGTGAAGGTTCGAAAATTGAACTAGAGGGTGGTGGTCTAGATAGGGTAATAGGTGCGGTTGGGATGAGGTGGGATTGATTATCTTCTCATGCCAATGTCAGAGCTAAATTATCCTGTTGGTTTAATGTATCGTGCATTGCTTGGGTTCGATGGTAGCTTGGCTGACATGCATGCTGTATTAGCCATGCCTTGGGCTGAAATAGCTGCGTATTATACACACGCCTCTCAGGTGTCTCAGCTGCAGGTAAGACGTATCGAAACACCCTGCTATGTAACGGAACCCACATTACTAGTCTTATTAGTCAGTTTATCAGTTCCTCGTCAGTTCCTCGTCAGTTCCTCGTCAGTTCCTCGTCAGTTCCTCGTCAGTTCCTCGTCAGTTCCTCGTCAGTTCCTCGTCAGTTCCTCGTCAGTTCCTCGTCAGTTCCTCGTCAGTTCCTCGTCAGTTCCTCGTCAGTTCCTCGTCAGTTCCTCGTCAGTTCCTCGTCAGTATGTCTCGTCAGACTCGCCAGCTAGTCTCGCAACTTTCGTCTGGTGACCAGCTCGAGCCTTGCATCTTTTGTACGGTACCAAGACATAAATCGAATAGAACTCGACATCAGAAAATGTGCATACCAAAATCCCAACACATCCTATCAACATCTGAGTTTTTTGATAACATGCCTCGCTGCCCCTTTTGCACGAGAGGAAAAGAGATCATTTTCAAGGATCATCTCAAGGCATGTCAGACAACAAATGAACGGTTACAGAGGAACACTGTAACAGATTGCAGCATTTGCAATAAATCTGCTATGGGATTATTTCAGATACATTATACAAATTGCAGACAGAGACTGAAGCAGGCTCTATCGGGACTGGAATCGGGGCCGGAGGCAAAGCAACCTTCCAAGCTACAGATATCAGAACCGAGTTCCTATGGCTCTAATTCGGAGCTTTTTGCCGAAAATGTCCTCGAAACAATTCAACATCAATCCAAACAAGCCATCGGGCAAACTCTTAAACAACGTATGCCTAAAACATCACAGGGCGACTATCATAAGCCCTATGATAATTCACCCGTAGAAGATCTACTGGGCGAAGTTTTGAAAGAGCATCCGACGGAGATACTGAAGGCTTATATTCCTGTCATGATACATGAGGTGATCAGAGCGAGATCCCCGAAAAAGGAAACCTGGGATGGTTTGAAAAATCCTTTCCTCATAAGGGCAGACCAATGCTGGAATGAATCTGGATCTGATGACGCTCTGTTAAACGACCTCATTAGTTTATGGAAGAAAGGCGATAACAATGTTTACAAATCATCCGACTCAAAACAACCGACTGAACCCTATATTACGACTGTTCTCCAACAGCTGAATAGCCCGGATCCCGAGGATGCCTATTATGCTATTAACATGGGGAAAAATCATTTTATCAGCCTGCCACCGAGACTTGATCCTGATTGCATCAACAAACAATGTATCACAACATGCAATATTACACCTCGACATACAATTGTAGAACTTCATATGGGTGAGTGAATATCAGGCGGTGTAGGAGTATACTAATATCGCTCTAGATCGAGGCTATAATGGTCTATCAGTACTTAGAAGAGGATGCATCAAGCTCTGGATTCTGTACCCTCCTACTGCCAATAATCTGGATAAATGGAAGTCCAATTGCGAAGAAAAAAGACCATTCATTTCTCTAAAAGGCCAGCTTGAAGGAGTTAAATTCTTTCTCCAACAAGAAACGAAGGCGCTTGTGATCCAGAACTGGCTCCATATGACGTACAGTTTCGAGGGTGGTTTGGTTGCTGGAGTTAACTATATAACGACGCGTCAGTTTGAAGTGACTCGCAAGCTTCTAGAAATCGAGCTAAGTCATAACCCTCGGCCGCCTATTAACGATTATCGCGCCTTGCTTGAGTGTATATCACTCTATATCGATAAAACAGGGTTGCAGTCCACGGAGGAATATAATCAGGTCTTACAAGCATTTTGCATATACTCAACCCACTTCAAAGATTGCGATGAAGCAACTTTCAAGAGATTGAAAAAAAAACTCCATGAAACAGAAGAGAAGGACTGTGAGAAATGTAGAAAAGCGTGGAGCGCCCATGGGGCTCTTACAAATAAGAGGAAAAGAGCTGGGGGTACGGGACGAACACGAAAGAGGAGTTAATAGCTGGCTCTTGATCCTAGGGCGCTACTTGTGGAGACTACTTGACGCAAGGTGTGCCGAATACCCTACAACCCCTTTGGTACCTTTGTCGTAGGTACGCTGGTGGGCCAAGGCAGTTGGGTATTTAGGTATATACCTTGATACTACTCTTTTCCAACTAGGTAACAAGATGCCTGGAAAAAAATACACGACCCTGAATTACAATGTCCGGGGTAGGTATCGCCTCATTTGTACTACTATTGTGTGAAGCAGAATGCTCCCCCACCCGCTTCCTACTATAACTTCCCACTGAGTATCTCAGCAAGTGCTGTCACCTTCTCCACAAGGCATAAGTCAAGAACCTGTGAACCGTTGTTGCCCGCAGATAAGCGGCGGACACAGGCGTTGAGCACTGAGGGCTAATAATTAACTGCCTAGTTTCTGGCCCTGGGATCAAACATCTAATTTATGATCCTTGACGGCATGCATTAGTGCTTCTTCACCCCGGCTTGTCCATGCATTATCAGTATCCCAACCACCACGAGGGGATCACCCTTGCGGGACTTCGCCTATAAAGTCCGTGCCCCAACTATTCAAGGCCTCTCGTAGTACTACTTTGCTCAATCATATTACGGACGTTTGACTTTTCTTCTCCATCCCATTCTCTGATAAGCCTAAACTCTTTCTTATCCTATCACTATGCAACAGAAAGAAGCGGCGGACTCACTTCATTTCCAAGGATCAGAACAGATACTTTTCTCTGGTCAATACGATTCTGACAAAAGAGATGTCTTGAAGTTTGAGAAATTTCTTTATTTGCCAGTCGAGCTTCGCGAAAAAATCTGGAAAGAATCTGTGTCTAAAAACACAATGCATTTTGTTAAGATTGTACGACTACGCCGAGATAGAACAAATTGGTTTTGTTGCGGGACCGGGAAACCATTCTTCTTTAAGCCAACCTTCTCTAGCAGACATACTCCTTGGGAAGAAAGACTAGACGCAGTTCCGCCGCTTGTCAGGAAGCCAGAGCCTTGGTGGTACACAAGGCGCCCTCCTAAGGCTTCTCCAGATTCTACACAGAGCATCGCGAAATCCTGTGGAGAAGCTCTGCGCATCTGTCTGAAGGAGAAATCTGTGGAACTGGATGTCTTGATAAACAATCCAGAGCATGGAAGTAAAGTAATCAATTTGATTATTTCATGCAAACTTCGAAGTTTGCTATGATTCAACGTTCACAACTCTATATCAATCCAGGTTCGGATATCTTATGCCTTCAAGCAGGAAATCTAGAACTTGGGTCCTCTGATGGAAAAGCTATATCGTTGTCAACAGCCTTTCCTAAGATTAGCTGGATCACAAAGATTGCCATCGAGTTTCATGGACCAATAACACGCGAATGGTGCTGCTGCTATGATGACCGAGATCGATCAGATGGTGATAGCCCCAGTGTTGTTCATGATCTGGGAAACTGCGCTCAGAGACCTACAAGAACCTGTGCTAAGGAATGTAAAGGATGCGAAAGCTGCAATTCTTACTATTATAATAGTATAAGCCATTTAGATGGCTTAATGAATCTCCTCGACGAATTTCCTGCGGTAGATGTTCTGTTTTTGATTGATTGGGGCTATGAGCATACTGACACCGCAAAGGCCAGACCTTACTGCTCTAGCGAAGATCATGACTTCTTTCAGATACGGGGGAAAGTGGGATGGAAAGCAGAGCGTCCGTGTCCGTTCGAATCATTAGATTGTGCTGAAAGGATCGAAACATCTTTCATTTTATATTTGGAATTCAAAATTCGCGAGCTGAGGAAAAAGATCTACCTTTAGTATACCGGGGACGACCTGATGACCAGCAGCAATAGTGTCTATTTCCTCAGTCAACTGTGTGCATCTATCTTGTCAAGACACCTTTATGAATAACTTGAAATTTATCTAGAAAAATATCGAGAAGTTGAAGGAAAACTCGAGATCATATGTTCCATTCCGAGATTATGTGTATACAGAGATTGATGAGGGAGATCAGATCTATACGGACCAGCTCCTTAAGGATATTTTAAAGACGGTCGCTGTAGCACAGGAATGTCAACGAATGGAACAGGATGAGACAGGTTGGAATCACATTGTTCACTCACCTCTCCTGGATACAATTCTTGATCGCTAGTTACAGCATATAACTGGATTTGTCCCTTGGTAAGGAGTTTGATGATCCCCGTCTAGTTCTAGCTAACCGCTTCTTGTCCATAGTATGTCAGCTAGCATCCTTCCGGAATGGCGCCTCCAATCCAAGTTAGGAACGCGAGTTGATTACGCTATTGTTATAAATCCCGAACATGACCCCCAACCAGGTGTCCAAAACGCTATCCAGCGCCTGCGATGCACCCTATCTGAAGCATCCGCCAACCACACAGGATCCGCACCACTTCGCCATCGACCTATAGGCGTGAGCATTGAGAAGAAACGATACGGCGGGCACGAGCGTAAGGCGGAGTATCAACTGGGCATATGGCACTCAGCTCAGTGGAAGCTGCTTGCTGAGCAGGCAGGGGATCATATTAGTCACCTGGCATTCATACCAGGCATCATTGTCCAAGGTCATGATTGGAAGCTGATTATCACGACGAACAACGGAGGCAAGACGGTAAGCCAACATGATGGCCATTATCAGGGACACTTTATTAATGCATTTTGACAGAGACTCTGGGCTAGTCGGCAGTTTGGAAGCACGCAGACACCGCTCGGGACGTTTCAAGTTGTCGCAGAGGTACGACGACTGGCTAGTTGGATGGGGAGAGAGTTTTGGCCATGGTATAAGACGTACATATTGCAGCTCCCACCCGAATCCGATCTAATAAGAAACCTGACAGGAGCCCATCGCACCCGAGAAACTGCGTCATCCATAGAACAAGGCACTTGCGATCACTAGAAGCTGCTAATTTATTTAATATATATGCGTGCTCCACTTCTATACTAATAATTTGATATGACCATGTCAAGTGAGTCCTCACGTTATTCGTTGTTGATTGATACTACTGATTCGGCGTAGGCGGCAAGACAAAGCAATGAAACCTATTGAAGCAAGCATATCATCTAATGATCTGGAGCCTGGGGAAATTGAGCGGAAAGAATCTGAATACTTTTCAGTTGTGACGAATGGAAGCGAAAGGTACGAGGCCGCACGAAAAGTCACGGGGAAAGACTTGATAGATGTCATACGCGCCGATTTCTGGTCATCTGCTGCGGCTGCATAAGAGTGACTGGTATCAGCAATGGAAGATGGAGCCTTCCCGTATGAACTTATACTAGTAACCTCCATATGTTGTACGGCTAGATACTTAAGGGGCACTTACGTATTTAGACATTTACCAGTAATGAGAGGTGGAGGGCATGCTACTAGTCTGTGTATTGGACACCTACTAGTAAAGCTAGGTATTGAGGGGCATACTACTGGTCACGAAATCAAATACCTACTGGTAAGGTAAGCAGAAGGGCAAGCTACTACCAGCTCGAGAATAAGGCCGGCTGAGATGCAAATATTCGACATCATCACCTTCAGAGAAGGATTTCAGGTTATATAAGCCCCTTTTTCCGTTTTCTCTACGCTAGTCCATACAGAATGGTATACACAGCCATGGTCAAGACCACCTATAGGTCAAGAATAAGGCCAGCTGAGAGGTAAAGACTCGTTATTATCATGTCCGGTATGAGACTTCAGACCATCCGAGCCTCTTTTCTCCATCCTCTTTGCATTAGCCCATGCAGCCAGGCAGACATAGCCTTGTCTGGGGCAACTAGAGGTCGAGAAAGAGGCCGGCTGAGATACGGACACTCATCATATTCCTATCTAGATCTAGCTTATCGTAAACAAGGCAGGAAAGAGCATCATCCTCTCATCATAGTATCTACCTGGCCTTTCTTATTGGTGCCAACAGATCTGGGCCCTTGTTTAGCCTAGCTGTTCAATTCTTGCAAGGTTACTAAGAGGCTCGTCTTATTAAGCCTGTCAGTAGTCTCTGGGTATTTAAAGAGCACTCCCATCCCCCATCTTGATTCTCTCCTTTACTCTTCACTACACCAGCCCACTACACCAGCCCACTACAGCCGTCTTGCCTCTATCCAGCAGAAACACTGAGAACCAGAATACAAACAACAATGAGCTTTCCAAAGATTCTCAGCCCTCAGCCACCAGCACCCGAGACTCCGGGTGCGAAATACCACACTACTCCAGACCGGGGTGGTCGTGATATTAACAAGTCCTGCCCCCTCCCTGGGCCTATCCAGTCAACTGAAGAATCACATGGCCTAATGGCCCCATTATCACACAACACTCTCAGTACGGAGTATAATACCGCTCCTAAGCGCCACCCTCTACCGACTTCGCCAATATACCGGCATTTTAGCACCCATGTCGCTCCAAGGAGCCATTACGATCCCACCTGGGAAGAGAGTGATCATAACACCTATCCGAGTGACAGCGATGTTCCTACCGTGTTGAATGATGACAGGTATGATGAGTACAACGCTCGGGACAGCGATGAGGATTACTTTTCGGCTGAGAACGATACTATTCCGAATGATATTATTCGCAATACCACACAAGCCAGAGGCAACCATCGTCTCGATACCCCCCCCAGCTCTCTAGCTACATTGAATGATCCAAATGGTTCTATCATGCGTCAGACTCGCAGCCAGACTCGCAATACAATATCTCGCCCTACTCCGAATAGGGGTAGCAGTCATATTTACCCCCCTGAGTCTGCCTTTCCTATTCATTCTCAGAGCCCCAATGTTAGTAGCTTCTAATTATATATCGTTTATGTATACTACTTCACAGTTACTGATCACTACAATAGGAGCTATCAAACATGCCTGGCAAACAGCCAACCCTTGGCAATTCTGGAACTCTGAGAATACAATCAGACAGCCCAGGTCCAAGTTCATCGACGACACAGAAAAGGTGTCTGACACAACCAAGTGAAATGAATTCCCAGGTGCGGAAGAGAATCAAGTCCTCCCAAGATCAAACTCATACGGAACGGGGCCCTGAATATACCCCTATTAATAATGAGCTCTGGGAGGTAGATAGGTTTTACATCCGGTACCCCGATGGACTCTCACAGAGCTCCTCTGTTTCCGGAGAGGAGCTCATTATTAAGGCCGTCTGGAAGGCAACCCGTATTACATATAATGATCTATCTTCTGTTCTAAGGGAGTCAATCCACAATGCCTACGCACTTGGTGGTAAGAAAAGATTGCAGGCCTTCAAAGGGCTTATATCTGATGTCAAGAGACAGTTTGGAGCGAAGTATCAAGGATGGCAATTTGATTGCAAATTCATTCCGCCTCGCAAGGGCGCTAAGGGAACAAGGGTGACTCCTTTTTGGGCCCGTTGGAAATTGACCACAGTACGGTTCCAGGATCTATCTCCTATGTTGAAGGAAGAGGTGTTAGATGATGCTAGAAGAAAGAAGCTTGTTGTCCGATATGGGAACTAAACTGGTATAATCATTAGTCCTCGAAGATAAAGACAGACAGCGGTATATTTCATCTGAGATCATCCATATTTATGGTTATGGAAGTTTGGTTCTATCTGTAGAGGTGTCCCATAGCGCGCTAGTACGTAGAGCTTATGTGTAACTACAGTACTCGACCGCCCCCAGTTTCATTTCCCTCCATTCCTTTTGGAGTAAATTTTGGCAGTGTCCAACCAAACAGAACGAATTCTCTGCGCAAAAACAATGGTAATACAGCTAGGGGATACCAAACAGGCGGGGTCTGTTGCCAAATTGGGTGAGCGGTACATGCGGCGATGCCCAAGGATGGCAAAGTACCTATGCATAGCCCCAAGGCTTTCCCAAAAGCACTTTTTCTGTCGGTCGTGATGGTTTGTACGTCGAGCAATGTCCCCTATTCAGGTTTCAGACATGGGTGTCGACGCCCTCACATCTCCGTCCATACATGGAACCAATAAATTCAATGGCACGACATAGTCTGCATACACAAGTACCAACTAATGCGTCCTAGTTTCACTCTCGCTCGCTCTCCTGTCATTCCCCCCGTCCCGTGCCTCAGTGCCCGGCCTGATTGTACCCTTCAGATCCTTTTGAAATCCTTCAAAGCGGCCTCCACTCTCAGGATAGAAGTCTATGTGTAGGGTGATGCAATCATGGGACACAGATCGAAATCTTCTATTTGCAGGCGAATCCACGCACCCATCGTCTTGATGCCTAGGCTTCGAAACCTCACACAAGAGGATCGTGTGAAGAGAATATAGTACGGCCAGAGCTGGCGTCTCCGAGGGTAATGATTGTCGACAAGAGCGCACAGCCTGGCGATGTTGGCGGCCGAGTGAAGGAGGACCGCCACGCACCTCGACTTATTCATGGGTGGACACTCACTTATGTTACACTCCCAAATGTCCTCTAGGCAGCGAGACACATTCGTAAGTATCACCCTGAAGCAAAATGGTTTCAAGACCTATAGTATCAGTAGTTCTCCAATTACTGTATCTAGGCTTGTAGAGCTAGCAGGCTTGAAGACAGTCTTTAGCCGCATAGATGATAATAGAAGAAAAAGGGAAGGCAAGGAAGGTATGCAGCGAAAAAGCAGAGTATCTATTGAGGCTCTAAAGTAAAAAATAACATTGAGTTCCATAAACAATCTGACTGAGCTTCCACGGGGGAACCTCGTACGGAGTGAATCCTCAGTGCTTTCCGGATTTTGAGTGTTTCGTATCCCACCTAGGGCAATCCCTACTTAAAGCCTCCCTTATCAGCAATTCAGCCTTCAAGTTCCCTGCATCAGACAATCGAACAAATGTCAGGTGCCATTGAGCTAGAAGTACATTTTTCCCTTCGCTTCTGATCTGTATAACTTCCTCAAAGGAGAAAGATGTGTTGGTGTTGGCGGGTGCGAGGGCAGGGGCTTCAACTGTCGGGTACGTAGCTGAAGATGTGGGCAAACTCTGGTTAGAGGCTATCTGAATTGATGCCCGGGCCTTATCATTGCCTGCATCTGAGGGTGAAACTGGGGTTGGTATCCATCGCACCAAAGCCCCCGGCCTCCCATTCCTCATCTGACCTTCTGTAGCCTCACTGAAAGGAAACAACAACCGTTCACCTCCCCGCCTAGTGGCTCGAGTGAGTTTAACGACGCGTGGACACAGAGTCTTGAGACGTTTTGTTTTGGCAACCCTAGAGGGCCTTGTATACGTGGCTTCAGTCGTGTCTTCAGCAGTTGTGGCTTCTGTATTGGCGCTCGTGGTCATGGCATCGGCAACAGCAGTATTAAAAGCCACGACTTCAGCATCAGCGGCAGTAGCCGTATTCCCAAAGCCAGGAGGTATAGCTTCGTCGTGAGCGGCTATGGCAGGGGCAGTTACTTTATCGTCGATACCCATGACCTCGCCACTGGCTTCCCTGTCCGCAATCATGGCTGGATAAGTGACTTCGTCCCAAGTAGATATAGGCTCGGCTTGACTGGCAGTAGCTATGGCTTCGGCATCGACAACTGTGCCTTTGTTGTCAGTGGCCGCATCGATCGCCATAGCTCCGACGTTAGCGGCTTCAGCATTATCGGCCATAGCTGCTGGGCAAGGATAGTCGTGATTTTGGTCGAATAGGCAAGAAAGGGCCGAAGCGGCTATAACCCTAGCGTTGTTGGCTGTGACTCCATCGTCAGTGGCCATAGCTTCGGCAAGAATGATCGTGATTGTAGTCCGACAAGTATGAAAGGGTAAAATATCCGGGAACATCAGGAGGGCCCATGCTCGTCTTATATATGTTTACCCCCTTGCTTCCAGGCGGACAATAGTTCACGTGTCAGACCAAGACACAACGTGTAAGGCGTATGAGCCACTCAACAGAGAGTGACTTCAACTATGTCCGCACTTTCCCGCACCATGGACGTGGTAATGCCCACTTTTATGTGAAATGAATGTTTCAATATACATCTCTGCGGTTATATCGGTTCCCGCTCTACCCGCGCCCCCGTACCAGTCCTCCTGGTCTAATCTATCTTTAGATATGTGGCAACTCAGGGGGTTTTCCAAAAGGTATAAAACCATGGCGCCCACCCACACTTCAATTCCACGATTCCAAACTTGATAAGTCTCATTCATTTATTCATAGCCTCTGCGAAATCATGCCTCGAGGGCCCTACGATACCACGGGTATTATCAAGCCCAATTCTCCAAAGCCTCCTCCAAAGTGACCGCCCAGTACGTTCCCTACATCTCAGTCAAGCCATATTCAACTAACAGATGCCCGAGTAGCTCTTTACTCTTTTCATTCAGTGGCATTCTTTTGGTTCCAAAGGCGGTTTATACGAAACGTTGTCACACAACCAGTCTCTAGTTTCTTCTCTCTAGGAACATCATTTTCCAATACACACTTTCCAATAGCTTTTCAATAAACTCCTTTTATTATACATCTATTCATCCAAAAGGGTGTAGGGTTCTTCGCGTTCAGTATGCCTTCGCCCGTATTAACCTCGACCATAAGCCTCTAAGTAACCGTGTTTCAGTGGCTGCATACCTTCCTCTTCTTCAAGTGACAACGACTTTGACCGATCCTTCAGGGCAATGTAACCAAGTTCAATACCGCGGAGCAGGGCCACCTATATGATATCTTCATAGTGTAGACGTCAGGTTAGATGATACGTCAACCACCCATCTAGGTCGTCCTCTCCGGGTGTGATTTCTAGAAGGGGTACAATTCCCACAGTCCGGCCACCCTTCACCATTAGTATGCATGACATGATCCGCATTGAAGGGGCTCTGCCCGACTGTAGTTAGTGCTAGTCCCGAGCTATTTTTGTTGCTTCTTTGTGTGCCTCGTTGTCTAGATGATGTTTGATGGTGTCATTGGCGTTGCGGGTTCGTCATGAGTGAGTGTCCACCATGAGCATACCGGGGTGCATGACACTCCTTCGACAACCGTTACCCTCTGAGACACTAGCTCAGGCCTTGTTGTTCTCTCCTCATGAGGCTTCAGAGTCCAGGCGTCGAGGCGATACGTGTAGACCCGCCCACAAGGGGGAATAACCACACGATTACGGTTTTGTCTGTCATTGTGATCATATACAGACGGGGCAACTAGGCGGCCCTGCCAGCCGGTCCTAGTCGCACTGACCGACTGCAGGCGGTCATGATGACCCTGCCCTTGAGACCGTTAGCGCGACGGGGAGTGTGGGTATACAACCCTCTGCCTCCGGTTTCCTTACCTCCCTTCTTGCGCATAGTCTGCCTGGGTGGAGTCCATTTGCTCCAGTCATTAGTATAAGTAGAGCCTGTTCGTATAGTTTGTTCCCCTGCCCCTTGTCATTTCCTCCCACTCCGTCCACTTTCGCCTGTCTTCGCCACAGACCCGCTTGCGCTACTCTCTGGAAGGACCGGAGCCTGACTACTGGCGACGCCTGCCTAGGCAGCTCATCTTATGTTGCATACTGCTGGTAACAGCGGCCGGGATACATGATCCTGCTAACCCCTTTTCATTCCGTGGGTGAGGGCGGTATCGTCTTTGTGCATTCAAGTTGAATTGTCTGTGCCCCTTCAGACATTGGCTCTTGCCAGACGGCGGCCGCCGAGGGGGTGTAGGCATAGTAGAATGATTGTTGGCTCAGCTTGCTGGAACTGATCATTCGTAGGAGGAACTGGCCGCAGGTCGTGCCTCGGGATCGGATTTGGCGAGCAGTTCCTCCCTCCCCTCTATCAGCCGCTTCTCTGCCATATTCTACTTGACCCTTCCCTATCTCTCCAGGCACCGTTGTTAGCCGCTTCGACCACGGTCCACAGCTCGATTCCGTGCCATGTAAGCAAGCTCAAGGGGTGCTGGCATGCTCGGTATCATCACCAAGATGACAGCAAGGAGAACTTCAATGCGTTCCAGAACGACGAGCCATTTTTCACCACCATTTACTGATTATGATCGTGAACGTATAAGTAATCGCAATGATCTGTAGTCATCTCGTTAGAATAAGTTTTGAGCTCCAGCTATTTCACAGAGGCCTATGGCACCAGAAATCAGGCCGACCTAAAACAAGGTCGGGGGTAAAAATAGGATAAATGTAAATCATTATGGAGTTAATAGGAGCTCTTTTGTTCACACTTGAGGCTTGGTTCCTACTCTATGACACTAGGTACCACACCAAAAGCCAGCACTGAGGAACCTCGATACTTTGGTTTTAACTGAGATATATTGTGAGGAAAATGTGAAAAAAAAACGCCGACACTCAGTTTTTGGTGCCTCGCGTCAGCTAGTGCTGATCATCCCTCGCTTTCTTTAATACCACCAGAGTAGTACAGGTTCGATATCCTTCTACCCTGCCCCCCAATCTATTGGCCGAGTTGAAAATATCATTGAAATGCGATGAGTAGTTTTGCTGATTTAAACATAGGAAGAAGATTGCAGCCTCTTTCGTGGTTCCAAGTCTCGAAATATGCTAAAATTGTGTAAAGTGCATTTCCCAGTAGATCATACTGTGCGGAGACCCAGTTTACATTTAGCATGTGTTTATAAAATTATAGTATGCACCAAACTGTATATGTACATGCATACATATACATGTATCGAGATGTGACGGTTGGATGACTTACACTGGACTGGGTCTAGGGTAGGTCGGGGTTGAACCAATCAGAGTGTTGTTCTGAGTGGCGCGATCAGGTTGTCTTAGGCTGTGCAATGCGAGTCACTGTCAATGTGCGAGTATTGTGAAGCTAGTAACAATAGATGCATAGACGATGTCATTGATACCTGCTAAGGAGTGTTTTAACTAATGAAATGAAGGTGTATATATATATTAAGGGCTTCACCTGGAGTTCACCTTGTCTTCACCGGGACTTCACTTTGTCAAAGTGAAGTCGGTCCTTATTGGTCGTTTAGGTAGGTCCCACAGGCCCACCTTTCTCGTGACTTCCTGCGGCCTGACAAAGGGCCTTTGTTCGTAACACGAGATTAGGTAGGTATATGTACATATACGTATAGTATATGGTGTACTTGACTAGTATGTCTAGGCCTAGTTCAGGGTCTCATCCTTTAATGATATTGGAGTAAGTAAGAAAAGTCCTCATTCCAGCCACCGCCCTGAAATGGTCCCAGTACTAGCGATAATCCTAAAATCAGTACACCTAGCTTATCCTAAGATTAGTGCTACAGTAGTAGTATATACAGGGTCAACCGAAAGGACTATCCGCTTTTCTGTTCTGTAGTGAATTTGAAGAGAGCTATTATTAGACAAGGTGTGCGAAAAATAAATAAAAAACACGACTGTGAAGTATCTTGTTTTCAGGCGCTGCTTATGTAACGACATAGAAATAGGGGTATTCTTGCAATTATCTACAACAGGCGCTTCCAAGTCGCGGCCAGTAGTATTAACATCTGTATTATCAAATTCAAAAGGACTATGCCCATCAACATCTTGACCTGGTAATACCTTTCGTTTACTTCAATTTTGGGGTTTTGGTAACGGCAATCTCTATTTCTTCCCTGCTTGTAATGGAACTTGTCGAAACATAATGGAATGTAGTTGGCTTTTGCTGTCCTGTATTATTCTTGTTATTTTATCATGACCTTATTTTCATCACCTGATCCGATTTTTCTTCCTAACCCCAAGCTCCAGCATCTTATTTGCGTTTTCAACACCAATCAACTCATGTGCTCTGAAATTATGAATCAACTGTTCCAAGAGCGCCAGAAGGTAGCGGCGATTGTTCTTCTGTTTGTCGTCTCCCCTTTCAACGGTGAAGGATGCAAAAAAATCACAAAATGTATTCTCAATGTGGCTCAATTGCTCACCAGTCAGGGACCCAGAGGCAAATAGAGGCACGCCAGGAAAAGTTTGCAGCAAACCCATAGCTTTCCTTTTCTCCTTCACTTCCTCTGAGTGATTTACCTCAGTTCCTTTGTAGTCGACACTTTTATGCCAGAGAAGTTGACACATGTATCCCAAGATCAATTTGTATTCTGTTCGATTGTCCTCCGCCATCAGATGTCGGGCATATTCATACGTCACTCTAATATGCACCGACTGTCTTTGCGAGAGAACTCTTCTAGTATCAGGTGTTAAGGGCTCATCCGGATAATATGACGCCGTCAAACCTCGGCCTCCAACGTCTGCTAGCCGACCACAAGCGATATCGGCACGACCCGGTACAATAGAGGGCCAATCTCTCCGAAGAGGCATCAGGGGTCGAGGGTGTCCTGATTGCGGAAACGTAAGTACATTGATACCTAGAAGAAGTGGGAAATTAGGCAAACCATGATTGATGTTGGTGTTCTCCATTGGCTCTGCGGTCAAGCGTTTTCTTTTCATCTTATATGAGGTGAGTATACGAGTATGAGTAAAGAGAAGCCTCCTCTCAAATTTTCAGCCTGCGGCAAAAAAAAAAGAAAGAAAGAAAGAAAGAAAGAAAAGAAAAAAACTTCTGCACAATGTGCAAGTGGCTGGGTCCTAGCTTCGTAAATTTCAGGACGTAGCCCAGTGCTGACTTATTGACAGTTCGCAGAATGTGTATGTAGTGTTCCTAGAAGCAAAGAATGATGAAAGTATGGCACTTTGCTTCGCAGAATGTATGATGCTCCTAGCAGTAAAGAGCGGTTACTAATTAATGGGCTTAGCTCAGCATTCCCTATGGACGGTTCATAGAACACGAAGAGCAATTGCCTACACTCTCCATAGAAGTTGGGAGATTTCTGCGGGATCGGTGGTGGCCGACCCGTGCCCTTGGCTCGCACAGTGATATTAGCTCGCAGAATGAGTCGTGTTAGGCATCTAGGGTTGCTGAACGTATGTCCTTGCCAATTCATCACGTCGCACAATACAGGACTTTTTCGGCAGCAAAAGGCGATCGGCTGGTAGATATGGCCCATGCACGCAAGAGTTCATGCCGTTTTCCGTAACAACAAGCAAATGTAACATAGTAGTTGCAACCTCATTCTAGTCACAGTGGGCTGTTCAGTACTTTAACACCTTCACAGGCTAGGAATTAAACCCGTATATTTTTGGGTAAGGTAATATAGACACAATAGTGACGCAATGAGTAGTAAATTCTAGAAGAAATAGCGGTTTTGGTGGGCCTGTGCTTCGCCCACTGATACATTAAGCCACTCGCCGAATGTGTAGTAGTTTCGGCATTAATAAGCGACTGTTGAATATATGAACTAGCCTCTGCCACGCTGACTAATGGTTCGCGGAATGTATGGTACTTTCAGTAAAAAAATGCGACTTATTGCTGGATCTCCATATGTCGCTCTAACCTATTCTGTGAACTAAGGCCAGAACCCTGCAGAAGATATGAGCACAAGTATAAGCACTGATCTTAATTATACCTAAGCAGGGAGAGGGAAGGCAGTTATAATTTGAAAAGATATAGAATTGTTCATGGACCTTGTCCGTATTTGCCTTCGCAACTAATCCAAGCATGGCTGAATATACACCGATTATCAATTTACTATACCCACATGATTCCCTTCACGATGTGTTGTACCAAGACTGGAAATCAACTCTGCCGATGCTCACTGAGCCTGGAGAGACAGGGGACGATTGCAGGGGAGTGCCGCTATTTTACTTTTTTATTCATTTGGGTAGAAGGCTTCCTCAGAAGATACAATATATGATCTGGGAGTTTGCCACGAGGGGCTCCGTCTCTATTCGCCAGACAAAATTGTTTCCCTTATTTCCCAATCTTCCCCCAGAGATCCGAAATATTATTTGGGAGTTTGCAGCAGGAGACATACGCCAAATTCATGCTCCTCATATCCGCGTCAATAAGGAGGCCCACCGCTGTGTTTCAAAAGAGTCATGTTCTATCCTCTGCGGAAATCTTACCCAGAGAAGTACTTGCAGACTCCCCTCGCTGTATGGATCTCCTGTTAGGATAAATCCTCGCCATAATATTATTTTCCTTGATGGTATTTTACAATGCTATTGTAATATCACTACTCTCTACAACACTGTACTTGTTAACTGGAAGGCACTTCGTGATCTGATTCCCTTTATTAACAGGCTTGAGCCGAGAACAGCTAAAGTCAAAACCATTCAAGTGGTAGCTGGATACTATTCTGTGTCTGCTTCAAGTCGGACATTCACTGTTGATCTCGATAACCAAAGGGATATAGTTGCTTGGCTACAATCTCTTCCAATCGAAAGGAAGCAAGATGGGTGGAAATTTATTATGGACTTAAGTTTATGCTCCTGGCAATTTCCTTTTTTTCATGGAGAAGTTATTAAGATAGAAAGAGGGACCGGAGCTTCAAAATTAAGGTTCAGATTCAGGGAAATTATTTTCAAAAATGAGGGCCGATTATATTCAGGTCATGCCTTGAAATTTCGCCGTCGTTATCACAATGCCTGGAAGGTTATAATGCCATGGGAAGAGTATAAGGAATTTATAGGCTCTATTGGGAAACTACAACTTGAAATTCAGCGTGTAATAGTAGCCTCTGTAGCATAAGTTCAGTAGATGCGACATTTGATCTTATGCATCAAACAACGATTTTCAGTAAAGCACGTAGTGAATTGCCTTCTAGACTAGGTTGGCTGTTGGCATTATTCGGCTCTCGTAGTTTGAATTTCTTGGCGTCCTTTAAGCCTGAACGTTCTTATTGCTGATCAGTCTTAATGCTACCGGTGACAAACCACTTGCTTCCTGCGGTGACATATCTCTGATACATGGCCTCCGGAGAGTCATGCCGTGGTGACCGTAAGGGCGTTTTGCTCATAGCTGGTGTCTTCTCAACGAGAGATCACCACATCTCAAGTCTCTAACGGAGTGTCAGGAGTGATTTATGACCAATACGTTGGAGTCATCACGCTAACTGGATACGAGCGATAATGGAATTAAGAGCACCGGTGCAATAGAGGGAGAGTGCCGATTGAATCCTACAGACTTCTAGCCGCCCTGCTAGATAAAGGTGCCTTTTAGGCCTTCGGGGCCTTCTCGATTGTACCAATGGGAATATTAACTCAATCCGGCTATAGAGTGACTCCCTGGGATAAAGCCTGACCTGGCCATTCATTTGATACCTGTCATGATCTATTTCTGCTTATTGTACACGCTATGCTTAGTTACCCACGGGAACGGACTTACCTTTACCCCGTGATAAGTCGGTGCGCCTATCCAATCTCTTTAGGGAACCTTTAAAACCATCTCTGGATCTTCGAAACCATTCGCTTCTCCTCCCTTCTCTACAATGTCACCGTGTTGTCATTGTATTCCACTCGAAAACATGCCGTGACTCACTCCAGAACGGCATGACCCCCTCACTCTCACGTCCGTAATCATATCTACCGATCTCGACCTCGACTGCATCAAACTTCTACTGAAATGCACCGTTTCGGATGAGCTGGGCGATGCTCATATGAGATACACTTTGCGACGCTGTTAAGCTACAACACCTCCTCGACCGGTTGCTCTTTTGTACAAAAAGCACCAGTGCTGCGCAGTACTAGCAGCTTCGCGAACTCATCCGAGCACTGGAAGCATGCAGATGAGGCGCTGAACGAGCAGCTTGGCCTAATGAATGTTGGGCTGCCTTTTTTCCACGATGCATACTTTAGGAGGGTGTCTGATTTTGAGATAGTCATCCGAGGAGTTTTTCAAGCAGTACTATGAAGGCCCTTAGCTGCTCTTTGACAATGGCTGGGTTGGATGGCTAAAAGACGCAAGCAGGAGGATGTACAAAGCTGACCTGCAGAAATCAACGAGCAACTGGCAAAACTGCACAGGGTGAATGAAACCTCAATACCGACACGTTAACGAGGGCCATTAGCGAAACCGAACGACACGATGGATGTTTCTATACGCAAACGAAAGATGGATGTTGGATTCGTGAATATATTGAGGTCGGAGCGCAGCCAACACGTCGTTAACACTAACCCCAAAGTCTTTATACAACAAACTCTGAACAATCTCGTGCTACCGCTTTTGGATCCTTACGGGCATCGTGGAGGATCGTCTTCATCGACGAATAGAACTCCGAAAATACCTCAACCGATAACGACAATCGGTATGATATTGGGTTTAGCACATCTTTGGCTGGGGGAGAGGTCATCGGCGTCGTATATGAGCTTGAATTAGTATTGTATTTGTAGATAGTGTGCTATACCGTAGGAGGATGAAGGGCATGTGCTCAGTAAACCAACAAGCCAAGAGATACATTCTTCAAGGAGGCCAAGAACATAGCCCAGAAATGGAGGCGCATTCGAACATTTAGTTCGACTTCAACCCTCTCCCATCCCTGGCTAGTTATGAGCAACCGGGCCCCAGGGATATGTTTTTGCCTGATTGAAGATCTCGGGTCGCGATACGCGAGTAGTGTAACCGTTATCATCCCTACTGTTAATAATTTTATGGTATTTTGCTGCCAATGCAAATTACTTCAGGTCTTCCCGCCCGCTGCGGAGAATCTCTCTAAAAAGAGTAGAGTCTCTCATTTTCCATTCCCAGGGCTGGCCCCGAGGGAAGACAGTCTTCCGAAGCTTGCTTAATAGTGGGACCATAGGCGCGTAATAAGCCGTAAAAGTATCCGTGATTGTCTCCATGAGAATCGCCTCTTTCGCCACAGTATTTCAGCTTCGCCAACTCTTTCATCTTTACAGTGTTCCATTTATCGAATTCCTAGACCACCCTGCTCTGATACGGTCCGTTATAATGAATATATAGCCAGAATACGACCCAGAAGAACAACTCTAGGTCATGCATGAAAGAATACTGCTCCCCTAGTAGTGCACAATGGCCATGAGCGCTCTCGTACCCGTCTCCCCCATTACTCCTGAGGCGCCTTCCCGTTGCTCTCTGGCAGCGAGGTCCAAGTCAATCAAAAATGCTCGCAAGGAGGGTTCCTGTCGTCCTCATTCACCATGAGGTTGTTGATAGAGATATCCCTGTGGAGAAGACCAGCTCTGTACAACAACCCATGTCCTTCGACGCAGCCCTCCAGCGCGGAGAGTAGCGCCTTGGGGGAGCTTGCCTTGTAGATTGGCCTTCCATAGTCGCGAAGAACAACTCGCCGGTGAACCCGGTTTGTGCTCGCGTTTGCTGGAGACGCGGGGCGGGATCGCTTAGTCGGCGGTGGGGCAGCATCGGTATCGCTTGATGGTCGTTTCATACCAGCGCTGCTACTTCGCTCTTGGCGAGAAACAGACGCGCTCTTGACTACAGCGGCGCACGTCCCAGTCGATAATTGGCCGCTTTCATAACGTCCAGACCCTTTCGAATGCTTTGTTGAATGTCGTCATTGATACCTGTGGAGGGTGCCACGACCTGTCCTTGCGGGAAGCAGACGGGCTGCAGGAAGGTTTTGCAAGCACGAGTTTCCGGAGGTCTATGTGATAGTCAGAAGGGCACGCTAGAGCGGCGCTGAGCCGACTATCTTACCTTCTTGAGTGAGAAGCTCAAGAGAGCAGAACATACTTGCGCCTTCGCACATCACATTGAAAGAAGCGCGAAAGCCATCAAGGCCTTTCCCAATAGGTTTGTCCTTGATGGCCTTTAAGCTCCTTTGGTCCACCATGGCTATTGTCTTATTATTGTCGAACTTGTACTAAAAATGCGGAGACACCTGTTCATGTATTTGAGGTCGACGGGGCAGATTGTCGGATGAACGCTGGTAATATGTCGGATAAACAATGGCAAAGTAACATGTTATGTCCGTTCTGCCATAGCTCACCGCTCAGCTTTCAAGATTTTAGTAATCAATCTGGTCCAATCAAAGGAGCTTGGAAGTAGCCACCAGTACTCCGTACATCGCCTTTTGTCAACATCGGCAAGGTCTAGGCCTGGTTTAGGTGGAGCGAATCTGCGTTTCAGGATTTCACAATCCAATGGAAATCGGGTTAGTAGGCACTGGTCGATTGAATTGTTGGTATGGAGATACTATATTACGAATTTGGCTTCAGCATCACCACAAACAGGCCACCTCTCAATTTCATAGCTAAGATTCTCAGCACAACTCAAATGGCCGAAGTCAAGGGGCCGGCCACCACATCGATGGAGACAATAACATAACATCAATGAACCATGTATTTAACTATATTGTACATATAATAACTCTTTCTTTAAGAAATTACTTAACTCCTACTGTACAGCACTATATATTTATCATTAATAATGCAATAAGCTCTATTTAGCATTAAGATGCATGTTTGCTACATGCTTAACTAGAATTGATTTGTGTTTTTATTTTCATAAAAGATAAATGGAAGGAATATATATCTTGATTAACCCCTTCTGATGAAGTTGTCGTGAGCTAAACCGTTAAACGGCGAACTGTTATATGCCAAACTGTTATATGCCAAACTGTTATATGCCAAACTGTTATATGCCAAACTATTATATGCCAAACTGTTATATGCCAAACTGTTATATGCCAAACTATTATATGGCAAATTGTGATATGAAAAACTGTTGCATAGCAAACGGTCATAAGGCAATAAAGTAATATGCTCTTGCTAAACGGAGTCATTTCAGCTTTAACTAACACTTATCTCCAGATCTTATAGACACGAAAGTATTCATTGAATCACCTTTCTCCTAGTTTGGGTAATATAAATAGACTGGGCATTCCCTAAGATGTATCGAGAACGGTATACGATATTGCACAACTCCATTACTAGCAAATTAGAACAAGAATACGGAGAGCAACTACGATATACGTGCCGCAGGGCCGCCATTCAATCGTTGCACATTCATCCACTATCCCGGAGAGTTGCATAAGAATATATGTTAGCCAGCTCATGGCTAGACACATAGTATAATAGAAAATCAAAGGAGATAAATGAAGCTTTTGCTAAAGGGTTCTTGGAACCAACGGTACTTCTTATTGGCAATATCTGTACTTCACTCCTCCATCAACTCACCGCCATGGAAGCCACGAATCTAGATGGGCTGGGCGATGAGCTCATAGTAGACTTGGAACACCCAAGCTCCCATTTGATAGCCCTACAGCGGACCGAGCCGCCAAATGGCGAACGCGATCAATCGCTTCTTCGGCTCAGTGAAAGGGTAAGAGGCAAACAATATGATAAACCAAACCCAAAGTGCATTCACGATGATTTTAAATGAAAGGTATCCCAACCTGACAAGATTAGAGCTAGATAGATTTTCGCACTCATACCCGATGTCGCCTTGGGCCCAAGCGACTTATGGCAAGTTAACCTTGATACCATAGCCCCTAAAGCCCTCGAAGACTACAAGGATTTGATCTCCGATACATACATATGCGGACCGTCGAGGCGAAATTCCAGCTCCTGCTTAACAATAACAAGGCAAATGGAAAAGTGACCGATGCCTCAGAGTGGGAAGCTATACTTGAGGAGAAGGCTAGTACCCAGCAGGGTCTCAGTATTTGTGCTCAATTGTTATTGCAGATTGAGCAGTTGGGCCACGACCATACGTATAATTGACGCCTAATACACGTCATTGCAAGTGCCGGTTAACACCGCAGTCTGCCAAAGTAGATATAAATGTAGGTCGCAACGTCAATTCACTTAAACTAAGTGTATCCTGCGTATCCAGTCTACTTTTCGAACTGTCTAAGCTAGTCCTAGTACACACTCGATATGGCGATTAAAAATCGGCCAAAGAAGACACAGGCAGCTATGCCTACAGATCCAGATTATTTGGATAACGACAAAATAGCTGATACCCGACCTGAAACATCGTAAGTACGTTCTCTTCATAATAACTATCCTATAGGTGTCATGCTAATGTAATGTTAGCCCATGTGCAGCTTCAAGCATCACATTGCGTTCGAGAGATGGGACGAATTTCAATGTCCCACAGCCTCCTATCCAGCAACCGGCGGATCTCCTCATTTGGGACCAGAACGCGGTCTTTCTTAGGCATAGTAACGATTGCAGCCCGCGGGCTCGTAAGAGTGAGTTGAAGACAACCGGCTCTAGTAGCCGTCAAAGCAGGCCCAATATTGAAATAGGATAAGGCAGAAAACAGCCTACCCCTTTTCCGCAAAGGGTACGGCATCTGCAGGATATCCACAAGGATATAGCAAAACCGGTCAAACTATAAAACAGAATACGTTCGAGGTGGCCCGGCGCATTAAGAAGCTGAAGCTTACGAGAGCCGCAGACCCTTGTACGCACAAATAGCCATGCTACAGCAGCAAGAGGGAGGCCATCGACTATTGTTTTATATAATACATGGCAAGGGTGATGGTAGTTGTACTATATTGAGGAAACTACCGTATCGGGGCACACGAGGCTGTACTGTGACCCAGCCGACATGACAGTACGGTGTCTGTATAAGAAGGGCAATCAGCCGATTCATATCAAGCCTGCCCTCCTATCAGAAACTCGCTCTTCCCTTTTTTTTCTTCGCTTTTCTTATATGACTAGAGGAGATTTAGGCACCGGTTTTGAACACCCCTCCTTATTTCTTACTATTACTAAATCGGGAGGTAAAACTACTCCGTAGACTCTGGTTTACACGTTCGCGATTTCCGCGTCGCTTGCCCTTCCAATATAGCAGGGCCGCCACTATCAAGCCACGAGCAAGCTCCCTTGAACGCCTTGGGCGTACAGTTCTTCTCCAGTTTAGAGGGACTCGAAGTAGTTACATCCGCCGATAGGCAGCTCATCCGAGGCTACAACCTTATCGGCGCGATTCATCTACAATTCGTTAGGCCAGCATACTTTGAAACCGATAACGGAGAGCATGCAAAAGTCCTTGGTATACAAAGTAACCTTGATATACTGCTGTTAATGTATATATACCCTTTTCCCGAAATTGACGAGTAGCACGGCCAATGGTTCTTCTTCGACATACAGCTACACCCTTACGAACTACACTTCCGCCGCAAAGTCGCGGATGGAGATAAGTCGGTGATTGGTTCGTGGGAAAATGTATATAGGAAGCTGGCATAAGTCCGTGGGCAAATGTGTCTCCAACCGTACGTACTATCTTGGACCGCCAGGCCTTTTTATGGTTTCCTTTTCCAGAAGACTAATTATTCATTAGTTCAGGGTTACAGAGAGGTCCCTGAGGCTTGGAGGCGGTTGCTTCCCCATTATCGCGCCACGCGCTAGCTTCCAAGGACCAGTCGATACGAAGACCTTCAAGTTCAAAGCTGGCTCAATATCAGAACACCAGCTGAAGTACTGGGGCTTCGTCCAATGTCAGACCTACCTGACGCCGCCCCGCGAAAATAAATCGCCTTTCAAGGGTAGCCGACCATTCCACATATTAGCGCACATACCGTATAATCAACAGCCTTGGAAGAGTCGGATCAGCTGGATAACCAGTTCAGCCGAGGACGGGTTTGTATCTAGGAAATGGATGTACGGAAGGGGAAGTATTATCGGCGTGCTTAACATTGGGTTGTTGGAGAAGGAGCCCGAGCCCGGACAGGACATACTGGTCGTGCTCATTAATGAGTTTAGCTTTATATCAAGGGCAACATTCGATAGCGGCAGCAATAAGGGCAACGATCTTTCACCCCAGAAGCCGAGGCAGGAGCCAGGCAAGGTCCGGAACCCTTTCAGCAGCAGCCCGGCTGGCCCGTCTCCGGGAACGCAGAAGACGAGGGAGAAATCAGGGGACAGAACGGCAGAGGAGGCGATACCCTCGGCAGTAGCAAGGCGGCTCTTTGGATCTCAACAGGAGTCCACCGGTTCGTGTTTCCGAGAGCACCAAGGAAGAAATACATCGACTAATCGCAGATTGAGCAGGATCTATATCAGCTACATCGGATGACACACTAGGTGGGTGCGCAGGTACGTATTCTCAATGGGCTGTATATCGTAGCACGGGGCTTGGTCTAACTAATAGCAGAGCCATCGGTCACCGTATCAACAGATACCAAGGAGGATGGAGCGTCAGTGCAAGTTCGGAATAGCCTGAAGCGAGCTGCTAGCTCCGTTAGAGACGGGCCGGCCAGGAAAAGAGTGAGCTCGTGGAAGGTGCAGGATGCCCCAGAAGCTGGAGGTCGAGAATAATGTAAAATAGAAAAACAAATGATTAGCTTTTCAGTGTAATTTCAAGTGTATTTATAGCCCGCTTTATATCCTATTAGGAATCGAGTAAGCAAAACATAAAACTTAGGTTAGTTAATAAAAAATAAGGATATTGAGCTATGCAGATTCAAGATTACGGCTCTACGATAAGATTTTGGCCCAAGTCCTTTGAGAGAAAATGTGGCTAAGCTGTGGTGGCGTCTGAGACAGGAGACCGGCCCCCTACGGGGCCTGCCAGCAGACCTTTCGTTCCTCAAGGCATATGGCGTCTGAAGTGGCGCAGTCTTTGTGGCGCAGGTGGCGGTGTTCCAGGTGTTGGTTTTCGAGGGGGCGGAAGGAAGAGCCTTTCGTTCCTTAAGGCATTTCCCTTTGCTTAGATAATGGTACTATATTAATTTATTTTATTTAGTACTAGTATTAAAATACTGTAGTTTTTTCGGTCCTAATATCCAAATACTGCAATTTAATTTGAACCAGTATTCAAGCGCTATAAATTGCCTGGAGCTGGTATTATCTGGTACTGGTATTAAAAAACCTAAGCATT